ATTTCTGATGTAGCAGTCTATAAAATTGTTCCTGTTGTTGATTTGGTGCGTACAATCCCACTATAAGTACTTTCTTGCCATATAAGGCAATTTCAATCATAACATATCTCCCTTGAAGATCAGATTCTACCAAACAGGCTGATAGGTTTTGCTTAACATAAATAACTATTCCTCCTTTTTTCCCAGGAGCAGAAGATACAAAATGAGATCCCAAACCAGCATTAACTAGATATTTTTGATCTTTAAGTATAATATGTGTTTCCTGCAAACAAATAATATCATTATTGTGTTGCTTTAGGTAATGAAAGATTTTCTTTCTCTTTTGAGGGGAATTAAGGCCATTAGCATTCCAGGTCAGGAACTTTACCATCTCCCTTAACCAGAAGCCTGGAGAAGACTGCTTGAAGATCTGCCATTGAAGAATGTGCTGCAGAACTCTTGGATCTTGCTCCTCCCACCGGCAGTGAAACAATTTCTTGAAGAGATTCTTTAACTTCTTTCTTCTGTTGTTCCTTTTCCTTACATCTATGTGCTGCACGGGTCATTCTTTGCTCTTTGATCTCTGTTTGTCGCGACCATTCCGCCTGTAGCTTTCCAGCAACCATCACACCTAATCCTTCAGACTGCTGTTCCGCCTCTTTGTCATCCAAACCTTTCTGCATCATAGATGATGGTGAGCCTGCTCCCAGGACCGAACTGTAAAACTCCTTTGCTTTAGTAACTGTGTTAAGTCTATAATGCGTCCCCGCATGGCTCAGGACAATACCCATCGGAATCTCCCATCTAAATGGCATCATTCTTTTTTAAAGCTCATTAGCTAAAAAAGCAAAGTCTTCTCTCTTTCTTAAAATTTTAGATGGAATCTCCTTTAAAATAATAACATCTTGAGCAGCAATCTGGAATCTCTTATTATAGAAAGCTTGTATGATTTCATTACGCAGAGATCTCTTTGCAAAGTAAATCACCACATCTCTTGGTAAATTTTTTTGTTTTGCGACCCAGGAGTTAATTCTGTAATTTTTTTCCACTTCTCTAAACATCTCTTCTTTATTTCTATTCAAAATAACAGCTAGGTCATTTACCACAATCTCTGTCAGGTCCTGCTGCATGTCCTCTTTCAGCCCCCTAATTCTTAAAGAATATTCCATTTCCCTATACTGAAACATAACAATATCATCTTGTGAAATTTCCATCTTTTTTTCCATGCCTTCAAACTTGTCTTCCAGAATGTCAACCTTGTCTGCGACCTCTTCCACTCTAGAGTCTAGCTTCTCAACCACAGAAGCAAGTCCTGTTAATGCCATAACTATATCTTGCCTCAGAATAGTATTGTTCTGCTCCAAAAGCTCCTTCATTTCCCCTCTGATTTGGATTTTATTCTGCTCTAAAACCTCCTTCATTTCCCCTCTAATTTGAGATACAGCATTTCCCATTATATCTTTCATATCTTGTACCGTTATTGTTGGCAAAGGAGGAGAAGGTGGTGGTGTAGCTTTAGGTTGTTGTGCTGGTAGAATCGCAGGAGAAGAAGCCACCTTTGGGACTGTAGAAGCTACTTGTCTCTTTGAAGCCATTTTTTAAAAACAAAAAACAAAAGATCTTCTTTCTTCCTTCTTAAAAAAAGAAAAGCAATAAAAAATATCCTCAAAAAGAATAAAAAAAACAAAGGAGAGTTTAAAAAATCTGAAATCCAGCTTTTAAAAAAAGGAAAAAAGTTTAAAAGAAAGCTATATAGTCCATAACGTTCCGTTTGACTCACTTTCTTCCGGGGAAAAAAAAACAAAACTTTCAAATCACCATTTTACTTTCACTCTCCACCCAAACAAAAAAAAAAGAGAAAAAGAAAATCAACCTAAACTAAAAATCAAATAAAAACCAATAAGTTCAATCCTTTACCCAGCTGTCCGTTTTAAAAATAACTCACCAAGTTTCTTTAAGCATGGAGGTGATAGCAGCGTTTTGCTTTGTTCCCAAAGGAACAAAGACAGCTGGGAGGTGGAGGCAACCCGAACTCCGAGGGAGTTCTCTTTTCACCCCCCAAGAAAAAAAATTCCTGGGGGGTTTGAGAGGCTCTACCTCTATTTGGGTGATTCTCTTCCCCCCCCCCTTCGCCCGGGAGGGGGATTTCGAGCCGTGGGACAGCTGGTATCTGTTGCGCTCCGCGGTTCTCACGCTCTCCCAGGAGGACGGCTAGAAGGTAGCCGCCATCATCGACGCTATCCACCGGAAGTCTCCTATTACAGTTCTTCTTGTCCGTTGGAATGGAAGAGAAAATTGGGCAGAACTCTTGTTCATTTCAAGCAGCTAAAAAAAAACCAACATTGACCACCAAAACAAATGGCCCTCATTCCATGCTGAGTCTAATGAAAAATAATAATAATAAACAGAAAGATGCCCAGCTTTTCTCTTCTACTGAACCAGTGGGGAACAAGCTCAAGGTCTAGCTTTTCGTGATAAATAGTAGGAGATAGTTGTCAAAAGGAGACAGTGGGTGTGCCTATCACAGTACACACCAGCCAACTGAAATCAAGGGATTTGTGTAAGATGAATGAAGCCCACCAGGCTTGTACCAGTAGAAAGCCAGGGAGGGGGAGAGAAAAATGTTGATATGGAGCAAAAAAAAAAAAAACTCTGGTGGCGTTTGCCTTCTTAACAGTCTTGGGGCAGGCTGAGGCTTGAGGGAGGAAGGTGATCTAGAAACATGAAATAAAATAAATTTTAAAAATGTATAAAATATTTATATAAATAAAAAAAATTAAAAAATCATCCAGTCCTGTTACCTAAAGCTGTAGGTGGCCTATCCTTCTGCAGACAGGAAGTATGGATTGGCCCATAATTAGTCCACTATTCAAATCTTATGTTTCTTTCCCCCCCCCCAATGCAGGGGTGTCAAACTCAATTTCATTGAGGGCTGCATCAGCATTGCGGTTGCCCTCGGGGGCCCAGCTGGGTGTGGCCAGGGTGGGTGTGGCCTACTGGGTGGGTGTGGATGGAGTGGGTGTGGCCTACTGGGTGGGCATGGCCAGCTCTATATCATTCGCGTCAAGGGTGCCTGTGGGGGCCTGGGCAGGAGTGGGACAGATCTGAGGGTCTCTGGCAGAAGGGGGTGGGACCAGGGCAAGTGCCAAGGCATGGTCCACTGGAGGAGCCTCACTGTTCCTCTCAGGCTATGTGGGGGGGAGCTGGATGGTGGTGCGGGCTGCCAGGAGCCCTGGACAGCAGAGGTCAAATGCCCAGCCTGGCCCTCGAGCACCCGCAGCACCAAGCCCAGCCCTATTTCCCCAAGGGGGTGCCCAGCTGCACTTACCTCCTCCTCAAGGCTGCTGCTGCTGCTGCTGCTGTGCTCACTCTCCTTACCTAGGTTGCTCATGATGGGTACAAGGGCAAACTCAGAGGGAGGCCCATTCCCTCTCCATGAGAGGAGACCCAGCTTTGTATCCAAAGCTTCCTTAGCAATAGGATGGGAGACCCCCAGGATAGGCCAGGAGGAGGGGGCAAGGAGATGGTGAAAGGGCAGTAGGGCAGGACTAAGGCAGGACTTTCCTCAGATTCTCCCTCTCCTTCTTTCCTTTCTTCCTTCCTAAGTACAGAGTGGTGGGAAAATATTTGAGATGAGAGAGGGAGAAAAACAGACAAGAAAAGCAGCTGGGGAGGTGTCACCCTTTGTGAGGAATGAAGAAATGCATCATCGCCTGGAAGTGGCCAGCACATGGCCCTCACCTACTTCACATATCTGGCTTGGTGGGCTCTGGGGGAGGGGATGCCGTGAGCAGCATGATAGTCAACATTACCTGCGCCATGCTGCCCAGCCCCCAACCTGCCCGGTTTTGGCAGGCAGTGGGGCGCTTTCCTCAAAGTGCCAAGAGGCTGAACCGGGCAGTGTGAAGTTCGCCAGCTTTGCACCTTGTTGCCTGGTGAAACTAGGCAGGCTGGGGGCTAGGCAGCATTGCACTTCTCATCAGATTCGCACCACCTGGCTCAGCTCTTGGCACTGTGAGGAGAGCGCCCCACCGCCTGCTGAAACCAGGCAGGCTGGGAGCTGGGCGGCCTTGCATTTCTTTTTGGATTTGTGCTGCCCGGCTCAGCCTCTTGGCACTGTGAGAAGAGCTCCCGGTTGCCTGCCGAAACCCCTCCTCCAGAGCGAGGGCCATTTGCTGGCCACTTCCAGGCAATGGTGCATTTCTTCATTCCTCACAAAAGGTGACACCTCCCCAGCATGCACCCAGGGGGTGGGGCCGACGCGGCAGGGGCTGGTTTCTCGCTGTTTCCAGGCGGCCTTGTGGAACTAAGACTGAATGTGTTTCAGCATAGATGGCCACCACAAAATTGTACATTGGCTCCCAGCCGGCCTGGGCCAGGGCCAAAACAGTGGGGGCCATTCCCTCACTGTTTCCAGGATGGCTTCGCAGGCCACATGAAACCATTTTGCTGGCCGCATCCGGCCCCTGGGCCTTGTGTTTGACATGTATGCCCTAATGGATTAAAAACCAATCATTTCTTCACCAGAGGAAACATCTCTGGATTGTTAATATAATGGATCCACTTAGTCTCAGCTTTCTGCATCTGACCTTGGTCCTTCTAGCCCTCAGAATCCAGGGAAAATCATATTTATAGGATAGAACAGCTTTCTCCAGCTGCTTACTCAATTTCTAATGTCTAATGAAGAATATCTTCTTTATAGGTATCGTCTCTATTTTAGTTATAATGATGATGAGTGCAATGTTGGAAAAACTCAAGGACAGCTTAGGAATAGATCACTATGTGGTTGCTTAGAGTCAAAAATGATTTCATGGCACTCTCTCTATTTTAGTGCCCTTCAGATGTGTATGGAACCACATAGACAATAGCAATTGTTGGAAAATATTTGGAAAATACCAGAAAATTTTAGTATCTGAATTACTAAGTACACCCCAAAGAACAAACGAAATTACCAATTTTATGTTAAGCAAAAACATTGTTTTTTATTCCAGAATAGTTATATAAAAAAATGTTATTTTTAGGAGCCCTAGTGAAGAAGCCCTTCAAAAAGAAGTAGATCGATTGAATGCCGACCTGAATGCTGTTAAGGAGGATTATGCACAGGTAAATGAGCATCCAGCAATATTTGCCTGAAGACGGATACCACGGATATAGCTGTACTTTGAGTGGGAATTTGAATACAGGTTTCCTTGATCCAAGTTCAGTATACACTACCCTTTTTTTTCTTCCTAGCATTTTCCTATCAGTCCAGGATCTGCTTTGTTTGGATCAATTAAATGTTAATCCATTGGATGCAACAGCTTATCACCTGTGTCTGACATTGTGGGCTGGGAGAGTATGACTGGCCCAAAGTCACACAGCCATTTTTCAAACTGAACGTGGAACTAGAATTCATAGTCTCCTGGTTTCTACCTTAATCTTAACCATCACACTAAAATGGCTCCCTCAACTATGATTACTACAGTGTTGCGTAATGTTTTGGTTTTGACATGTTGATCAACGTCCACATGTTCTCATTTGCTTTTGTATGTCTTTTGGAAAAAGGAGATGGAAGATCTGAAAAATAAACTCACAGACTTGAAATTGCACATCAAGAAATTGCATCAGAAAATAAAGACTCTGGGAGTAAAATTAGATGATGAAATTGATTCTGAGTTCGACATTTCTCTGGCTGAAGAGAAAATATTAGCACGTGAGAGCTTTGAGGTAGGAGCTAAAAGGCTTTACCTAACAAATAATGTCTGTATGCATTCTCTATTTCAATTTTATTTTTTTAATAATTAAATAATGTTTTAATTATGATTGGTTTCTTTTATCAGTTTCTGATTTTGCTTGGAGGCGAAATAGCTTTCAAACTGATTGAAATATCTTGTAGAGTACTAACTGCTTATGAAATCTATCTAGGATCTTCTTCGTAATACCTGTGGCTCCCTGTCCAGCCTGAACTTGCAATAATTTTAATTTTTTAAATATTTTTTTAAAAGGATGATTGATAGATCAGTAGATAGACAGAGATAGGTAGACAGACTTGGTGTGATTCATTTGTGCAGTAAGGAAGGAAAATCAAAAAGCTCTTTGAGAACTACTCAGTACTCAGAGGAGTAGGAGAAACCAGATTGGCCTTCAGATAAATGGTGTAAATTCCTGTTGGAGAAATGTATAAATATCCAGCAGTGGCAATAACTGTCTCACCCTATCTGCATGTGACAGCTAAGCAGTGTCAGGCCTGGTTAGCATTTAGGTGGGAGAGCCCCGGGGATGTAGGCTAGACTAGAAAGCCAAAAACTTACCCCCAAAAGGGCAATGGCAAACCATTTCTGTAATCTGTGTGCAGATGAATCACCAATCATTATATGCAACCTGAAGGGCTCTTACCTTTTACTGTTGAAGAAGGCTGGGAGGAAAGGGGGAAAAAAAAGATTGTGGCAAAAGACTAACTAGTGATGACCTTGATGAAGCAGAGCTCTGGGGCAGAGATGAATAACTTGATATACTGTATTTTATTGTAATTCCTAGTTTCAGTCCTGGCAGAAATATGAAAATGATACAACAAAAAAGAAAATAAATAGAACAAACCCCATCACAATTCCACACTGCTAAAAAATCTACTGATATTAAACTGGAAAAATATGGTGTCAGTGAAGATACGTAAGTTATTCCCTCCTCAAATTTATTTTCCCAAGAAAAATACACTATCAGCTTAATAGCAGCATTTACCAGCTTCTTAATTAGGCAACTAGGGCTTCTTCCTATCAAACAGGGCAGGGGTAGGCAACCTTGGCTCTTTTATGACTCGTGGACTTCAACTCCCAGAATTCCTGAGCCAGCTCAGGAATTCTGGGAGTTGAAGTCCACGAGTCATAAAAGAGCCAAGGTTGCCTACCCCTGAAATAGGGAAATAAATATTTGGAAAAAGCATAACTCCTCCTCCTCCTCCTCCTCCTCCTCTTCATGAAAGTTTAATTAGAGATTAAGCCACTTCGCCAATCAATACATCAGTCCTATTAAGGCATTACCAGAACTGAAAAATCTTGCAGAGAAAGAGGGGAAATTCCAGGTCCAGCTGAGTCTCCAAGAAATCACTAGTAAAGACTAGAGGAGAGTCCAATGCTGCTGCTTCTGCCCAAGTCTTCTTCCTGCCCAGCCTAGTCCAAGCATTTGGGGAGTGATTGGAGAAGAACCAACGCAGTCTTCTGCTCGGATGCTAGTAAGCAGATCTTTCCTGCTACTGCTTCTTTTTCCACAAGCAGCTGGAGTAAGGATTGCTAAAGAAAGCTGGCTGTTTCATTTTAATGTGTGCCAATTAGTGTACATTCAAAGTGACAATAAAGTTATTATTCTATTCTATTCTATTCTATTCTATTCTATTCTATTCTATTCTATTCGAGGGAAAGTGAAGAAGGATTCATAGGGAAGGAGAAGGCTTGGAGACACACGATTGCCCCCTGTTGCTAGATTGATAGACAGACAGAAAGAAAATGAAACTGCAGAAGAAAGGGGAAAGAGAAAACGGAGGAAGATTTAATCCCTTTTATAGGAAGGTTCTCCAAGGTTTAAGGAAGGCCAAGAGTGGTGAAACAATGATGCTGCTATTTTGAGCCTATTTCTAAAAGATCTAGGTGGCCAGAAGAAGGAGTTCTAAAGAGACAACTGCCGACATTATGAAGGAAATAAGTACTGTATATTTTACAGTTTTTGACAGAGCAAGCATCCATTGAATGCAGAATCTTGATTGTTTTCAATTAAAGACACACAGGAGACGTTCATTTTGTGCACATTTAACACCAGTTAACACCAGTTGAAGAACAGAGGAAGTGTTGGAAAAGGAAATCTTCTTGAAAAATAGCAGAGGAATTCAAAAATTACCTTTTGTGATGACTAACAAAATGAGCAACTGCGATGTGGAGCTTTGAAGTACCGTAGAAAGGAGCACAGCTTTTCAGGGTTAATCAGAATTACTGATTTAAATGAACTGAACAGAGAGAGCAGTAGAGAAATGCTTTACTAATCCTAATTTTCTTGGAGAGATGGCTGGTAATTTAGGGGTGGGTTATTTTTACAATTCAGTAAAAATACTTGTAATGAAGTATTACACTGAAAAAAGTATCCACCTTTTAGGGGCACCACTGAAGGAGTAATCACTGACTGTTCACCTTTCCATGACTCTCTAGCTCCCCAGTGAAGCCTGCATATACTTAAATCCAAATCTCAAAAAAGGTCAAGTCAAGCAAAGATGCATGTCCCAAGAGGCAGACTAAAAAGTTGTGTCAGCAGCACAATTTGGGCAATCAGGAACAATTTCACCCACATCTCCTAGATGATTCATTATAAATAGGATGTTCTCCATTCTTCTGAGCTTTTCTTCATTAAATGGCAGTTCTGCCATCTTTCTGTTATTTCTGGTACCATTTTGGATCAAAAAAGAGACCATTCCTTTGCTATAGGAACCCTGTTTCAAACTATTTTCCCAAATATTCCCCTTTCTCCTTATATCAGTAACTCCTGTTGATGCATTTCAGCTTTTTCTATCTCACTGGTCCTTTGTGTGGATTCTTGCCCAATCCCATTTTTTGTTGGCTGCCAGATCTCCAAGCTGATCTCTGCTCTGAGACCTGGATCAACCTGAATAGCAGCTGACCAGCAGTTACAGATCAGGTTTCATAGTGAAGCAGAAAACAAAACTCTCTACTGCTTCCTTCCACCGTATTAGATGGCTTTTCAAGAAAATTGGGTCACAGTCCCAAAATTCAAGCTGTTCTTTAATTAATTATATTTACTCATGCATTATTGTCCTTTCAACAAAGAGGCACCTCTTTTTCAACCTTTAACAGGTTGCATTTCCTTGAATGAAAAAAAAAACAGCTTTGATTTTTTTTTTCTCATATGTGTTTGAACCTTGATTTTTTCATTTGTCATTTCTGGAGTGCCTGCATTTTGAGGTCTACAAAAGTCTACAAAAGTTTTTTTAAAAAAAAGCTATTTTGTTTGTTTTGGGCAGAGCATCTACTCATTATGCCACTAAAGTTTCCTCCCCCCCCCCCGGCGCCCCAATCTCCCCACCTCTGAAGTGATAAAATACAGCTCTAGTATACTAAAAGGATGCCAGTTCCTGATGTAGTGCAATCTATGAATCCACCCATCGTAGTTTATTCAGCACACCCTGGTTAAAACAAACCATGAGTGAACACCTTATGTAAACTAGTCAGCATAGCAGAGGCTGATTTGCTTTGCAGACCAGAGATCTCAGCAGGTCAAAAAGTTCTCAGACTCCAAGACCAGGGAAGACACTTGCTGGTGAGGAACAGCTTGGCCAGCCAGAGCAGTTTGCCTCAGAGTGGAAGGACTGACCGATCACCTGACTGCACGTAGGGTAACATCACGTATATCCAGTTGGGTGGCATGTGACAGATTCTGCTTGGCTTTTCTCATGCTAGCGCATCTTTGTTCACTTGAGAAGCAAGTGTGTTTCTACGACAGGCAGTCCTCGACTTACAATCATTCGTTTAGGGACCATTTGAAGTTACAACAGCACAGTGGTGGGATTCAAATATGTGAACAACTGGTTCTCTGTGTGGATGCCTCTTCCGGAAGTCCATTCTGGGCCTGGGCAACAAGAAATTAGCTACTGGTTCTGCCAAAGTGGTGCGAACCAGGTCAATCCCACCACTACAACAACATTGAAAAAAGTTACATATGACTGTTTTTCACACCACTTGTTGCAACATCCGCATGGTCACATCATCAAAATTTGGGCGTTTGGAAAGTGGCAGGTATTTTTGACAGTGGCAGTGTCCTAGGGTCACAATTGTACAACTGCCTTGCTTAGCAATGGAAATTTGGGGCTTAATTGTGGACGTCAGCCGAGCCTCCCTGTACTAAATTCACCTTGTTTAAATCTTTGTGTTCTTTATTGCCTCTATTTCTTTAAGTGAATTCTTATTTATTTCTCTCCCCCTCCAGCCTTTTGTTCAATCATTCTCTGGCTGGCTATTAATATTGCTGAATTTTCTTTGGTTTCCGCACTGATTAATAATCAAGCAGCTGGATTAAAGTTCCATCCATCAACACTAAAGGCCAGGTTGCAGTTGCATCCTATGACCACTAGAGGACACACATTGCTTGTCAAAAGTTGGATCCTTTCCTTCTCCCTTTCTAGTATAAAGTGAACAACTCTGAAGATTCTAGACTACATAGCATTTGCATGCACACACACACACACCCCATCCATAGATGCTCTCATATGATCTGTACCGTGCATCATTACAAATGTTCATAGCCAAGTAATTTTGTTCTGTTTAAACAAGCCCCCAAAGGAAATGAATCCAGTTACAAAACCACTGGAGCAATTCACTAAGATCCAACTAACTCTGAGACGTAACCTGCTATTCTTCAAGAGACTTGTTGACTGCTTTGAAAATAGATAAGATATAAAGCAACCTTGAAACACCATCTGCAAAAAACTCAGCTCATCTCCTCATTTGGTGGACTTTATGACTGTAAGTTTCTCTTTTTTTGAGTTTAATATACTACAATGGAAGAAGAACAGGAATGGATTTCTTCTACAGAGAAAGTACAAGAACAAATTCTTTGTATGTTAAAAGCAATGATCCAAACTCTACGTATAAGTCTGGATATGCAAACTCAAACTATGACTTCAACCAAAGAATTATCTATACAGAATTCTATAAAGTGAAACAACCAAATGCTATGACAGAAGACTTAGATACTCAACAAATACAGACAATGGAAAAAACACAAAAAAGAAACTGATAATAGAGAACAAGGAAAGGACTTTTCTTATAAACCAGAAGGAATTTGAAGATAAAAAAGAAAAACAGATGAAAGAGAAGATAAATACTTCGGGGCAACTGCATCGAACTGGAAAAACAAAGAGAGGACCAGCTAAATCAACTAGTCCTCTTAAGAAAACATCAACTAGATGCTCTTATCAACATCAAACAATAGCCACAACAATACAAGGAGATTTTTTTGATGATTTAAAGGCAAAGATACGAAAAATGACCTGGCAGAGAAAAAAAGCTAGAATAAGATTGAAAAAGATTGGGGTTTTGATCTATACATGAGATCTAAAATAGAATATATCTAAATAGATAGAATATGTATTTTGAACATGATATTGTAACGATTTGAGATAAAGAAAATTTTGGTCATATAAAATCTAGAAATATATTGAAATAAGAATATTATACTGTCTTATTAGGTTGGTAAGATAGATGGTAGAATTTATATACAAGGTGTGTATTTTAAATATTAGAATGTATGAGGAATTTTGATAAAGGAATTGTATTTAATTAAAAATCTGGAAAAAATAAATATTAAATGTTAAATTAAAATATTAAGGGAAAATTAACCATCAGGTCACTGATTGGCTAAAAGTTTGAATGTTTACAAATAACTAAGATTTGAATTTAAGATATTGTTATGAGTTGAGACAAAGGTTAAGTAAAACTTAAAAGTATAAATACTAATAATTAAATTTGTTTATGGGTTTGTGGTACAAATGTTGGTGGTTTATTTTTATTTTTTATTTTTTTTTTCTCTTTCTGGAAAGGAAGAAAGGAAGGAGGGCACAAAGAGGCAGAAGCCACTGAACAGCTGCATCCCCGAACTCATGCAGGCTTCCATTTCGCACCACAACCAACTCAAGAGATGTTTCTGAGAAATAAGCATCCTCTTAGAGCTGTGGTGGCATAATGGTTAGAATGCAGTATTGCAGGCTAATTCTGCCCGCTGCCAGCAGTTCGATTCTCACCAGCTCAAGGTTGACTCAGCCTTCCCTCCTTCCGATGTGGGTAAAATGAGGACTCAGATTGTTGGGGTCAATGTGCTGAACTCTGTGAACCACTTAGAGAGGGCTGTAAAACACTGTGAAGCAGTATACAAATCTAACTGCTATTTCTATTGCTTTTCCACTTTTCTCCCAAACAATTCAACTAGTTGGATCTATTCTCTGTGCATTTGCCTAATCTTGTTTTATCTAGTTATAAAATGGTAACCTTCACATTGAAATATGGTTGTGCTTCATCTAGTGTTCTGTAGTGCTCTTCATTACAATTCAGAGGCTTCAATTTTTCTTTGTTGAGTCTTTCTGATGATTTAGCATTCACTGATATTGGTAGTGAGGAAACCATAACTTTGGCTATAAAGTTTGATTCATAACTATTGAATTTGGGGATCTTACAACATCCATAATAATCATTAATTGTATAAAAATTGAATTTTAAAATTAATAATAGTTAAAGGTTAAGTGAGAACCAGTGTGGTTTAGTGGTTAAGGTATCTAGTTAGAAACTGGAAGGCCATGAGTTCTACTCCTGCCTTAGGTACAAAGTCAGCTGTATGATGTTGGGCCAGTCATTCTCTCTTAGCCTTAGGAAGGAGGCAATGGCAAATCACTTCTGAAAAATCTTGCCAAGAAAACTGCAGAGACTTGTCCAGGCAGTCTCCAAGAACTGGACAAAGAGTTGAAGAGGAAAAAAAAAATTAAGTAAGTTCAGAATACATCTAGAGAAGGAAAGCATGGGAAAAGAATGAAAAAGAGGACGCTATCTAAACATTTTTCTTTTTTTTCTTTCATTACAATATTAAATTACCCGCTCTGCCCAAAAGAAAAAAATTTAAATGCTTAAAAATATTCATTGCAAATTATCAGTTGGAACACACTGGAGCTGGACTACTTTGGGTGTGGACGACATGATTGTGTTACCGTTGGTTTTGTTGATCCACCTATCCTTTTTGTATTCAAGATATTGTTATAAGTTTAACTAATTAATAAATGTGAAATGAAGCAGAAATAAAAGAATTGCTTTCATGTGTATCAAATTACTCGTATAGTCCTATTGCTGTACACAAATTGTACTTGGTTTGGAAAAAGCTGTACAAAACAATTACTTTCTGCTGACAGCACATCAGAAATTAATGTGATCTATAATATATTTATTAAAAGAGTAATAAGCGTTTCAACAAGAAGTGTTTTTATTCTAGGATACCTACATGCTGATTTATTAGTACATAAGTATCACGGAGGCCACTGCAATTGCAATACCAAGGAGAGTTGAAAGGAGTTTGGCCTTGCCTCATAGGGCTAGGGGAAACTTAATGAATCAGAGTCTCCCCTACCCAGCATGTGAATAAACTTTGCCCTTAATAATGTGCATCTATGTCTTAATTAAAATAATGTAGTTCAGCCTATGGGAAATAAGAGGCTGGATTCTTTTTTTATTTGTTTTCTAGGCTGCCTGCTGCCGGAAGTTAGCACAAAATGTCAAAATAGTCAGTAAAGCCGTCTTTAAAAGAATCAAACCCTACTAAAAATACTAAGAGTAAATTAAGAATAAAATATGAAGACATGTATTCTAACATCTTTGCTAAAATGTAGAGAAGACATTCTCTTAATTTGAAAACCAGGTATAAGAATGAAACTACAGGTAGTCCTCATTGAGCAACTACTCATTCAGTGGCCGCTTGAAGTTACGATGGCACTGATGGGTCCTTGTAATTGTGGCTGTTGCAATGTCCTGTGTCACTGATCATCATTTGCAAACTTCACTGCCAGCTTCCTGCAAGTAAAGTCGATGGGGAAGCTAGCAGGAGGTTGCAAATGGTGATCAGGGGACCATGGGGTGCTGTGACTGTGTAGAATTTGCCTAAAGATGGCAACTGGGATGCTGCAACTGCTATCATTAAGTCAGTGTGGTTTTGTAATTGCTTACTTTACAACAGCATCGTTTAGAGTTGGAGTTGCTTGTTCCAATTACCTGTAAGACATCCTTCAAAAAGCTTATCCTTCCTAGCAGATTTAACGGCTTTTAGATAATAAGGCCCTAAGCTTTTCTTCATTTCTCTTTAAAAATGAAACAAAAATGGCAAGCCATCCTTTTTCCCCCCCAGTTCTGGGGATCGGTAACAAGCATCAATTGCAACCAGTATTTCCTTTCTTACACAGCTATGGTCAGAGGTAGGAAAGAAGGCCTCATCAGACACAAATCAAGTAACACTTAGGAGAATTCCAAAACACACCAGCTTTATGGATGCCTTTCCTACGGTCAGTGACTTCTTCAGTTGGGTGGGGTAATAAATTGAGTGAGACTTGAAGAAATAAGAAGTTTGAGCAGGGGTCTTCAAACTTGGCCCTTTTTTGACTTGTGGTCTTCAACTCCCAGAATTCCTCAGCCAGGTACGCTGGCTGAGGATTTCTGGGAGTTGAAGTCCACAAGTCATAAAAGGGCCAAGTTTGAAGACCCCTGAGTTTGAACTGGTCAGAGAAGTAAGTTGCATCTTCTAATCTAAGGAAAAGATTGGCCCAACTCTGTTTACATATCTATGAAATATGTGCCGTGGCTTGTCTCTAATCATCATTTGTCAAATGTTAGCATTCTGAGCGAGATTCTTTAAATCAGAGTGATGTTTCTCCATGGAAATTTTTGTTGCTGGGGTTGTTTTAGATACAAAAGCTATTAAAATATATTCTGGACATTTTCCTGTAGTCTGTTGTTCAGTTACAGCATAGACTGTGAAAATGTGATAATTCTACCAGGAGGTCTGTTCTGTTCCTATTTAGTGAATACCTATTATATTCTCTTCTACCATTTATTATTCTTCATTTTCCTCTGTTAACACTGAATCTCTCTCTCTCTCTCTCCCTCTCCCTCTCTCTCTCTCTCTCTCTCTCTCTCTCTCTCTCTGTGTGTGTGTGTGTGTGTGTGTGTGTGTGTGTGAAATACACTGTGATATTAACACAAACATATTGACACATATGTGCATACCTATTGTTTATCATTATTCTAACATGCCATTATCCTTTTTTTTTGTTTCAGATTCAAAATGATTTCATTAGCACTGAAGAAAAAGAAGAATTTATCAGCAGATTAGCTTCTGTTTCTGATGCCTTAAACTTACCCATTGGTGGCACTTCAGAAGGGGGGTCACCGGAGAGGTAACCGAAACTCACAAGCTTTCAGAAATAAGGAATCAGAGATATAATTGTGGAATTAAGCCCGGAAGGAAGTTGTATCAGAGTGTTTGCTTAAGAACACACCCAACAGAAGTGGGGAATCATTTAAATGGCCTTCTCATATTGAACTTCTGTGCTTTGCCACAGGGAAACCAAGACTTATTTTCCGGCTGTGTATATAAGCACACATGTCACTTGCAATATTATAATTTACAAGGTTGTACGTAAAAGGCAGGTGGAAATGTTTACTCATAAGTAGAGTAGTATGTTGGATAAGCCTTAGTCACACAGTTCGACATGGTAGTTTGTGGGAACTTTATGTCATAAAGAAACTTGGCCTTCTATCTGCCTGCCTACCTTGTCCAGCTCAAAGACCATGACTGTTGAGCTGGATAGGATAGTGCACTGATCACTATGGGGTTGTTAAAGCTTTTCATTTCATATTTAAGACTTTCTGCCTCTGTTGTTGTTTTAGCATGGTTGGTCACTTACCCTTGCCAAATGCTTGGGCGAAGTGCCAGGTCTTAAGGCTCTTTGAACTCCAGTAGTTGGGGACCATCCAGATATCAGAGGGAACCTCATTCCCAAAGGCAGGTGCTATGACAGAGAAAAAGCACTTCCCTGATCCCAATAGAAGGCATTGTTTAATTGAAGGAATCCAGAGCCTACCAGCCATGCCCAATCAAATCAGACAGAAAGAGACATGGGGAAAGATCTATGTTAAAAGGGTCACAAAATCTTCATTCAAGTGAGATAATTTCCCCAGATCTGTTATTGGGATAAAATCTACTGATCTTCTGGTGCATCAGACTGCAATATGTCTGAGGCTAATAGGAATTGTAGTTCCCTTGGGCTGGGGCACAAGACTGGGGAAGCTTTTTCTACTCTTCACTCACAGTTAATAATATGGATTAGCTTCTAAGGATCTCTTCTTCCTCAATAAACTTAGATCCATCCATTCTCAAACCTTCATTCTGGCTTTGACTATGGTTGGTTGGTTGGTTATTGGTTGTTTTGGAGTAGTGATTGCTCATTGCCTTGTCTAGTTCAGAAAGCTTCTTTTTTCAATGGTCAGATTCCCTTTTTATATATTTTTTCTCTCTCAATTTTCCTTCTTTCTTCTTCTTTCTCACATACATACAAAGTCTGCACTTCCACTTTTCTCCCTATATCGAAAGCAAATCAAATATAAATCTGGAGAAAAAAAGCCAGAAACAGTTCTACAGGAAGAGGTGAAATAAAGCTGACTTGTCTCTAAAGAGACTGTGGCTTTATATTTCTGCTACACAAAAATTGCTTATTCTGACTAGGATGCTGTTTGCACAACCCAATTCTTTTAAAGCACCAGGAGCTATTCGTTCAGATTAAAATGATTACATTTCTTCAGGTTGAGTCTTCTGTTGATGAAAGGATCTTGAATATAATGAAGATGAGTAAGAAGAAAAGCAGTTTTTTCTGTTTCTCCCGTTGTTCCTCACAACCCAACCCAACCCCACCCCATCCCACAATTTTTCAAAGAATCTTTCAACTTTTGAATCAGATTATGGGGTGCAAAATACTGCAAAGGACAGAGAAGTTGTTGATACTTGTTTATTTCTCTTGCTTGATGAAAACCTCTATTAGACTCAAAGACCATCACCTGAGGGAGACTTTACCTTTGCAAAGCTCTTCTAAGATTAAGTGAATAATGTTATTCCAATATTATAAAATGTCCAATGGGTTTGGCCCAATGAGCATACTGGAAAATTTGAGACAGTGCTGTGAGCTTCCATGCAATATGGTTGCCTAGAGCAGGGCTTTTCAACCTTTTCACCCATTGTACCACTTTTATGGCAACATCCAAGTACCACCAGTCACCTAGCAAGGTATCAAAAACTTGATGACCCCCCCAAAAGAAAAAAAGTGATAAAGTACAGGTAGTCCTTGACTTACAACAGTTCGCTTAGTGACCGTTCGAAGTTACAATGGCACTGAAAAAAGTGCCCCCCAAGCAACAGCCAAGCAAGACACCTGCCTGCGCACCTGGCAGCGCTCTTCCTCCTGTCTGAGGTTTTCATTGTTGTGAGCATTTCTGTTGAGGATTGGCAATGGGGGTGGGGTGGGGGGGTGTTTGGTTTTTATTCCCCCGGTCTTCTGGGTGGTTGCAGCAGGTTTTGGTCACTTCATATGACCCTGGGACATTGTGACCGTCATAAATATGAATCAGTTGCCAAGCATCTAAATGTAAATCACGAGACCCTGGAGATGCTGCAACATTCCAGCTGATTGGCGCTTCTTCTGGGCCCAGCAGAAACGCCAGGATCAGTGCCGCTTTCCAGCTGATTGGTGCTTCTTCAGGGCTCAGCAGAAGCACCAGGATCAGTGCCAAGCTCCAGCTGGAGCCAGGCGCTGATCCTGGCGCTTCCACTGAGCCCTGACAGCTCTGAAGAAGCGACGATCATCTGGAAAGCGGTACTGATCTTGGCACTTCCGCTGAGCCCTGATAGTCCTGCAGCTCCAGCCATCTCTCGCTCAGGCTTGTGCGGTGCTACCACCGGTTCAGCTCATTCCCCTCCCCTGCTACCACTTTTCTAGGATGGTCGCGTACCACCTGCCAGGTGCCAATGTACCACAGGTGGTACCCGTACCACTGGTTGAAAAGTCCTGCCTTAATACACACTACTGCAGTATTCCAGACTTTTAAAATTCCTTTTTGTCCTTTAGTTTCTGATGATCCCAAAGATTCCTGATGCTTTCTGAAGGCTGAGGCTTCTATGCTGGACAATGATGAAATAATTATAGATGAGTGAGCCTGAGCTTTCTGATACGGAAGTGAATGGAATATGATTATTCCGACAAGGTCACCATCCTATTCCAAATTGACTGGTTGGGGATGGCATGAAATGCATTTACTTGAACTACTGTATTTCCACCCCATGTGAATGTGTGTGTGTGTGTGTATGTATGTGTGCGTGTGTAACCTGAAGCAGTTTACCATAATCATAAAAATATTTCAGAATAAAATGTTTGAAAAGGATTGTAAAGGTTTGAAGTTAGCAATGGGACCCAACATATAGCAGAGGGGAAATCACTTTACAGAACACAGATAGATCCCTCTAAAGAAGGCTGGCTTCCAAGTCATCGTGAATTTGGCAAGTCCTACATCACAAAGAGAAGGATCTCTCCTCCCATCCCCACCCTCACCCCATCCCAGTTGTGGGAGGGATGATGTAATTGAAGTTTTTCCTCAAAACAACCTAATATTAAGTTTCTCTTCTACTATTAATATTGTCTTGTGAGTAGATAGAAATTCATTGCCCTCTCACTTTTTTTTTTTTTTTTTTTTTTTTTTGCTTTATGTGCATGATAAGCCTAGAAGAGTATCCATTCAGAACTCTCTCTAATCCCACAGCTCAGGAGCAGAGAGCAAACTACCATCTGAACTGTCCTCGGATGCTATTCTCACTTCTTTGAAATCAGATTTTGCCTTATTTGAGAGCAAGGTGGCAGAATCTTCTTCAAGCCTGCCTTCCTTGGACGACAAAGTCCCAGAAAAGAAAGGTAGGTGCAAATTTTCCAGTGGGGTTCCTGTTGTCTGGCTGAGTCATACATGCATCACACACATAATCACAACACTCCTGGTTTGTAATCCAGGTTAACGTCTTGGGTTGTTCCATCTTTGGTAAATAAACTCCTATCATCAGTAAAGATGGCAAAGATGAAATATTCATGTCTTAACTTGGTCCTCTGCTAAGCCCTAATTTTAAACACAAAACTGAAGAATGTGAAACGTTCCTCCCATCCCAACTGGAATTACTAAATAATCTTTCCAGCCTGACTCATTTTCATGCAAAAAATTGCCTTTTAACTTTATGATTAATAATCTAGTTAAGCACGGCCTGGATAGCATATCTATTAGGTAGTCCCACAACTGGACTGAAAATCCTATTCAAAGAATGTTAATTAATGGTTCTTTTTCTAACTGCATTTGAAGTGTCAGATAGATTATCATTGGATTCAGTAATGGGCCTGATATGCTTCACAGTTTTTATAAATGACTTAGGCAAAGAGATGGCATAACATCCTTATCAAATTTGCAGTTGAAACTTTTCTTGAGATGTTGGAGAATTTGGACTGAAAGGAACAAAACATTTTAATAAAGTTCATATTTTTTGCTTAAAAACCTAAGGGCCTTGAATTGGTCAGATGGATAGACAAAGAAATCAATTGGAAACACATCCTTCCCTGCCGATTTTTCAAACTTGTTTGTTCTGTTAATTTGTATCCAGGGTGATTTTCCAACCTCTTTCTAAGACTAAAGATATATTTTCATTTGCCAGTGTTACATAATCAGAAATCTTGTAAGAAATTAGCCAAGTTTTATGTTACACTAATTGATATATTTTAGGAAATAAGAGGAATATTACCAAGAGCAGCATTTGCTGTGAAATATTGTTAAACAATTTCTTTAATTTGTTCAGAAAATTTCATCTAAGGAATTGCCTGAAATGTTATTGCCTTAAAAATGGGGATTATGCACCTATCTGACAGAATGTAGAAAGTTTACTATGTTCCTGCTTTTCTCTTTCTGTGCATCTATTGGATGCTCAGCTGAAATCCTTTGCACTCCAAACTCCACAGCTTTTATACTTTTTCCCAAATCCCACGTTTTGTATCTTCAATTCCTCCATACAATTCCCCTCCCCTGTTGGGAGGTCAGTAATTTCCTTGCATGCTCTAGTTCAGTGGTTCTCAACCTGTGGGTCGGGACCCCATTTGGGGTTGAACGACCATTTCACGGGGGTCGCCAAACAACGCAGTCCGCCATTTTTTTCCCCTTTTCCTTAGCTGTGTTACTCCCTTTTATTCTATTGGCTTTTGAAAGCCAATAGAATAGACTCTCTTGAATAAAGTCTAATTCTATTGGCTTTCAAAAGCCAATAGGAATTGTCCAGGCTGTCTCTGCCCTGCTGAGCCCACCAAAAGTCCCAGTCTGCAAACGGTGCTGCACCAGTTGAGTAGTCCTCGACTTACGACTGGTTGAGTAGTCCTCGACTTACAACCGGTTGGGGGTCATGGCATTAAAAAGGTTGAGAACCACTGCTCTAGTTCACACTGTCTGGTAATATGACCATTTATTTACTTTGATTTTCTTCTATTAATGTTCATTTCCCCTTTTCCTTTACTGATTCTTTTTAATCGCCAGCCTGGGCATTGAAAAGAATGCCCGATCCTAGCAACCAAATTCATTTCTTTGCTTCCAGGGTAATGCTACCAATTTGCATGAGATATAGTTATTTTTCAACCCTGCTGTACTCTTCCAGTTTACCCTACCATTTAGAATACTCCATCTAGGTTTTTTAAACTAATATATTAAATAATGCATCCTCTTTCAGAGCAGATGAAGAAGGCAGAAAGAAAAACAAAACCCTTAGATTTTTTTTCTTTCTCCCATACCCTCCAAACTGTAATTATATGAAATTACATGAAAAGTAATAAAAACTCAGTTATGAAGACTACCATCAACGTAGAAATCAAATCTTTCTAGTCAAGTTTCATTATTCGCTATTCAATGCAAACCAAAGTATCTTTTTTTTCCTGACGTTTTACTGGCAAACATTAATGGGTGACATGAGGACAGTGTTTTTGCTTTCCCATAGATTTGGTTTCCACCCTGTGTCCTTCTAATCTCGCTCAGCTTGGTCTTTCTCTCGGACGGCTGTCAGAGGAGGAACTATGTCCCCACTTGATGCACGACTCCCTTCTACAGGAATACAAGAGGTGAGTCCGCAGAGTTCAGCTCTCGTGGGAGTATTTCTATTATTATTGCTTCATCAAAGCAAGAAGGATTTTTTTAATCCATTTATCAATAATATTGATAATGTTGATAACGTGGCATTGACAGAATATGGAATGCCCTGGATATGGTCCATGCAGCGTATCTGTGTGCAGTGCTAGAATATAACTTTTCAGTTCTGCTTCTCAACTCTCCATTCCATTTGCAAGTCATCCCTGAAGTCCTTGAAAGCCAACTCATATTGACTTTATATTACACGCATCATTTCTCCTTGTTGATAGCAGATTGAAAATATATTTGGCATTTTTGCTCGCCTTGTTCATCACCATCTTGCTTATGCAAACAGCTATTGTTGCACTGAAACTTTGCTTTGCCATTCAGTGTTGTGAGCACCAGCAGCAGGATCATCAGATGTTGCTACTTCTTCTTGGACTTGCTCTTTGCCTCTTCCCCCAAATTCAAATCCTGTGATCTTCTCCCTCAGCTAAGTTAACCAAACTCATTTGGTTGAGACCCTGAATTAAAGATGTACTTGTCATGTTTTGGCAAGAGCCTTAATTTATAGCATTGTCTGTCTGTGCAGCATTCCACAACTAGTAGAAATCACAATTGGGCCTCAAGCACTATAAACTGATTCCAGAGTTGTCCTCAGAGAGCTGATCTTCTGAGAAAAGACTTGATTTTCTGCAGTGCACCTTGATTTTCCCAGTACTGTCTCTCCCACTATACCACTTGGCTTGATTTGTTCATTAATTACTTTTTTTTCAAGTTGTACTGATTATTCTGCAAAGTCTAGCACAACCTAAAGGCCACCACTGTAATCAGCCACATGCTCATAGATGGCACTAATTTTTAATAAAAGCTTTTGAATATCTAACCCATTTATATTTGTTTCACGTCCTTTGTTCTGTTCTTCTTTTAGATGCTGTGCTGAAACCAGCACTCTAAGGATCGTCAGTGTGCACCATAAAGGCAAATTTATCAGAATCTTCAACTGTTTATTGACTAAAGAGGTTGACCTAAGTGGCTATATCATCCAGCAGTGGGTGGGAGGATATCCAGTCTCTATATATCATTTCCCAAAGAATGTCGTCCTGCCTGCCCAGCACCACATCACTGTAAGTAACAGAGACCCTTCTCATTTGCCGATGATACACGTGATGGGACATCACTCTTAAGACATGCAAATAGGACCCTATTTGTGTGGGAAAACATGCAGGGCATCTGGGTTCGGCACTTGCTGCTGAAAGCCTAATTACTCAAACCACAAAATATTTTGTACAATCAGCCTTCACTGTTTTCTTTCTCGACCATTAATACAAGGATTTTCAGACAAAGGGCGTATTAAATTACCAATTAAAAAAAACCAACATATGGCTATATTGTGTTTGCATCGGAAGTGATGAAAAAGTATGGGAAGGCAACAAGTGAAAAATGATAAAACTCTGCATAAAATATTATGAATGAGGCAGAGAGTGATTGCACAATGAGCGCTTTCTTTGGAAGCAAATGGTAATTCTAATCAATCTAAAAAAGTGATTCATACAATCAGGTGCCTTTCCCCCCCACAATGGCTTTAAGCAAACCCAGCATTGCTGTGGCCACCAAAGGAGATTCTGATGTGATGATGCCATGACCTGGGGCTCTTTGCACTCATGTTGGTACTGGCAGATCTTTTCTAATATGGAAATCCAGTGAGTTGAGGAAGCTTAGAAGTGAAACAAGACTAGTGTACTGGAGACCAGGGTAAAATTGGGGCTATCAGATCATTCTAATGACCCTGAAAATATTAGTGAAGAAAGATGTCCCTTGCTTGCTCACTGTCTGAATGGGAGAGAGCCTGCCTTGCTAGTTTGAAGGAAATGTGGAAGCTGGGCATAACAGCCTTTCCAGTTGCTTCCTTTTATTGCTGAGTTGGAGCCTCTGCTGTGGCTCCATTTCCTCTCTCTTGGCTCCTGCTGTTTCCTTGTAAAAGAAGCACCCTGCTGGACCACATCAAAAGCCCATCTAGTCCAACCTTTTGCTTCCCACAATGGCCTCCTAGTTGACCCAAGGCACCCTTTTATTCATGTTAACACATGGAGTCTTACTGCCTTTGATAGGGACATAATCAGGGCCAATAGCTACTTTTTGTCTTATCCTCTTTGAAAGGGTTTCCCATTCTAAGACATTTAAGTTGGTGGTCATCATTATATCTAGCAAGAAATTAAGTCCATATTTATGTTAGCCACGAGAGGGCAAAAGTACTAGAATGTGCTGAGAGAAGGGGTTGCATTAGAATAATGTGCACAGGAGATGCACGTATGTACAAGCCACCTCTCCTTTGAGCTTGGCAATATTTTCCTCACCAGTAAAACATAAGATGCACGCTTCCATAGCATATTTTGGTGCATGAGTGTTCCAAGCCAGCAGGAGGCAGTACAGGATCACAGCTCATCCTCAAGCTCCAAATATTCCAGTCAAAAAGTATACTGTTTGTATAGCAGGATTATAAAAGGCGGATTATATACTCAGTGCAAAGATAAACTTTAAAATTCCTTAGCAATGAGATTAGAATTTAAAACTATGAAAAAAGTAAAGATGGGCGGGCTAACTTATTAATCCAGCCCACCTTTCCTCTGCCCTAAATTGCCTCTAGAAATAGCTTTGGTTTTCATGGTCTTTGCAGATATATTTTTTAAAAATCTACCAGGCAAGTTGCATACATTAATCATTGTATACTTATTCACATGCACTACTTAATAGGTTTGGGCTGCAGGGGTCAACTTGGCTCATGAACCATCTTCATTTTCCACCGCAAAGTTTTTCAAGGCAGGGCCCAACTGCCTTACCACTCTTTGTGATCGTAATGGCCAGGTGAGCTATCTTAGCTAATAGTTGGAAAGTGGTTGGTTGGTTTCTGATTGTTAAAATGGAAGCTGCTCCACTTTCTGCCAAGTCTTAAGAAACAAATCAGGGCAAACCCAGAAGTGCAATAAAAGACTATTGCGGCATTTCATGATGACAGAGGTGCTTCCCAGACCCTCCATTGGCCTGTAGCTTATAATGAGCCACTTGGCCAGTATTTGGTCATCTCTGTAAAGATGATGGTGAGAAAAGATCCAAATCCATGCCCTCCTGACAAATAGTAGCTTTATCTGTTCTTTGAAAAATCTGATATAAATTTTCTTACGGGGGGAAAAGTATCTAAAGAGGTTGATCCCTATGCCAATGTTTCCCTCCCTAAAAATGAAAAGACAGATGGAGGCCCTGAACAGGATCTGGCATCCTTTGTGGGTCAGTGCCATAACAACATGCCACAGGAACTGATTTTCTCACTTTGGGAATGGGAGATGAAAATTGTGAATTTTCTTGGGGAGGTCAATCAATCCAGCCTTGGGGTTATTGAATAGGAAGAACAAATATAACAGAAGCTGACTTGTCTTTAGTTGTGGCATCATCATCATTAGGGTTCACATGGTCCCTTCCCCCTATCTGCCTGGCTCAGTTAGATATTCTTCACAACCACTTTTGCTAAGGCCTCAGCAGCTCTGTCTCTGCTGGTACTTTGAATAGAAAAAAAAGCTGTACCTATATAAACTAGAAAGTGCTCTGGGGAAAAGCAGAAGAAAGTTGAGGTCAGAGTACTCATAAACAATAATAAACTTCTGAAGGGTCCTAAGAGCTTTTATATATACAGAACATCTCATTGTAAAGTTTCTGTATTGTTATCTTGATACTTTACTTTCGAATCTCTTATAAAAAAGGTATTGTGTAAGTATAAATACTAAAAGCAGCAGAGATATGACAACTACTTACCCTTCTCTCTCACTTTTTCTGAGATGGTGTCACAATACGTAAATCCTCACCAGTTCACAGCAGCAGCAGCCGCTTACAGTGATAACGTGGACCTTTCCATTGACAAGTTTCCCCTTTGTGACGGCAAAGAAGAAACTAATGAATCCTTGTACTCCAAGTTTTCATTCTGCCCAAGGTACAGCAAATAAAATTCAACTGTCTTTGAAAAGGTATAGAGGTATAGAAACCGGTATGATTGGAAGTGCTTAAAATTATGTCACATTTTGATACAGTAATAAGCACTGTGGAAGGTGTTAATTTAATCCAGATTAACACAGCCTTTTCAGACAGCCCATCTTTGAGAGACAAACATCCAGACCAAGCATGTATCTATCCCAGGGGTTCTCAACCTTGGCAACTTTAAGACTTGTGGACTTCAATTCCCAGAATTCCTCAGCCAGCAAAGCTGGCTGAGGAATTCTGGGAGTTGAAGTCCACAAGTCTTAAAGTTGCCAAGGTTGAGAACCCCTGATCTATCCAATGAAAACAAATAATCCTGCCTTGAAGCAGCTCATTCCATTATTGCTTTTATAGGAAATTCTAATAATTTGGCTTCCCTGAAATTTTAGAGATTGGCCTAGTATATTGTGCAAACTTAACCAATTGTAATTTATGTAATAAATCATGCTTAAGGAAACCATTATTTAACACTGTCACAGCTGTTCATTCTTAATGATAAAGTAAGGCACTTTCTATAGAATCTTTTTTTTTTTTTTTAATTTTAGGAACTCAAAGCAACTTTCCGTAGATTCTTCAACAAGTTTCAAAATGTGGTGTGATCGGTCCATCGGAAACAAGAGGAAAACAAAAGGGGAATGTAACAATTTTTTTCTGTTGTTTTCTTAAAAAAAACAAAACCTTCCTTTCCTCTCAGTCTGACTATGGTAGTCATATCAAAAAGACCATTTAGCATACAGAATCCACAATTAATTTGCAACAAATGGAACAACTTATTCTTTCATAAGCAGCCACACTAAAAGTAACTACTAATTTCATGAAGATACATATAATAAAGCTCTAATTTTGTGGTGCTGCGTTCAGAAAACGTGAAAAAAATGAATTGAGAAAGGACAGAATCCAAGTATTTACTTTTATTTCTAATCAAACAATTCCTTAATGAGAAACCACTTTTATTTTTAAAATGCTATTGTAGTAATTTACTATCTCCTATACCAGGGCTTTTCAACTGGTGGTATATGTACCACTGGCACCTGGCAGGTGGTATGCTTATGATGAGTTGAAAAGCACTGTAAAAAAATGTGTAAAAATAGTGTGAAAGTGGGGATGAACTGAAGCGGCGGCAACGCAGCACAGGCCTGTTGGAGAGTCAGCTGGAACCATGGTGTTGCTGGGGCCCTGCTGAGCCCCGGGATCTGCGCTGGGCTCTAACTGACTGGTGCTTCCAGAAGCTGCGTGCAGCCTGGGGAAAGGAATCAGTTGCAGCTACACTGAAGACAAAAGAAGGAAGAGGGGATAGACATGCCTACGGGGTGTGTACATTTGGCCTGGGGCTGCCCTGCAGACAGTGAGGGGCTGGCTCACCCCAGCTTGCAAAAGAAAACCCTGAATCCAGCGGGCCAGATGGCAGCCCAGCCACTGCGCCTCTCCGTTTCCTTCTCTTCACCCCTGGGCACAGACGCAGTCACTGTTCCTTGCCATAGCTGGGGGGGGGGAACTTGCAAATACCTCCATCCTGCAAAGCGGCGCTCACCCGGTGCTCCCGCCCACCGCCATGCCAGCAGCCCCGACTAAAACCCAAGCACTCCAGCCTCGCCGAGCTGGGACCTGCTGACACCCCCCCCCATCCTCCTGCACCCACCCCAGTCCCACCTGCTAAGCGACTGGTGGTACTCAAATATTGCCATATCCTAAAAGTGGTACAATCTCTGAACAGGTTGAAAAGCCCTGTCCTATACTTCTAAAAACTGATATAGTTTCCTCAATTTCAACCAAACGAAACAAAAATATAATACAAGCCATCATAAGAGTCCTTGTCCTTCTAGAACTAATACCTTACTCCTCATTTATTCTTGTTCTGTTGGCTATCCTTTAGCCAGTTAACTATCCATGAAATGACTTGTCAAAAAAAAATTTAAGTCCAAATATATGATGTCAGCTGTTATCACCTCTGTCTACTCTATTTTGATTCTCCTTCACAGCAAATGGGATGGGAGAAAATCTCTGGCCAGTGTTAGGCATGTTAGGACCATCTCTGAGCTCTGCTTTTTTTAATGCATAGATAGATAGATAGATAGATAGATAGATAGATAGATAGATAGATAGATAGATAGATAGATAGATAGATAGATAGTCATGTATTCAGAGATCAGAAAGGGAAACACATTCCATTAAAAATATTTCTGATCAATTGCTATATTACAGGGTCAGAAGCATTTGTGGAAGACTTATCCAATCTAGCCATAAAGATATCATTAGATCCACCAAATGTTAAGGACATTTTTTTCCCCTTCAACACACTGTGGTTCCAAAACATGAAATTCCCATTTTCCATTACCATGAACTGTTTGCTTGATCCTTTTTTTAAAAAAAAAAATAGAATATAAATGTGTAAATTTATAAATTATAAAACCCAGTTGACAGTGTGCACAGGAATATATTCATCCACATCATTGTTCAGTAGTGCTAAATCAGGGCTCCCATTTTTTTTAATATATATTAAGCATAGGTTTATATTTGAGCTTTGAGCAGCATACTTCTAGCCGTACTCCAAAACATTAAGAGGATTTGTCCAAAATGGTATAGGGTTTCCTGCCTGAGCAGGGGGGTTGCACTAGATGACCTCCAAGGTCCCTTCCATCATCATCATCATCATCATCATCTGTTTAATAATGTCACTCTTTGGTCACATTCAACATTACAATTTGGTAGCAGCACTTCTGGAGATTCTAGGAGGGGCACAGGATTTTTTTCCAGTCCTGGGATCAAAAATTTTCAAGTATCTTAGATACTTTCAAAGTAGGGAAATAATATAAACTGTTTTGGTAACCTAGGGGGAAAAAAAGCTCTTCAGAAAGGAGAAATAGCTTTACGGTTCATAACAGTATTTTTTATTGTTTTTGGCAGTTAAAGAAAGCTCTTCTGACACTGACGAAGATTTTTCAGTCATGGTTTTCAGTCATGGAAACCAGCACCCCAGGAACCAATAATGAGAGTAAGTAAAGTCCTTTGCTATCAGTTGCATAGAGAGAGCATCTTCCTCCTCAAACTTGTGAAAACTATGAACTTGAGACTTTGGAACAAATAAAACACTGAGGAAAGAGACAGCAGTGGGTTCCACTGTAATATATTAGGAAAATAACTCTCCCCAGGTAGCTGCTCCTGTTAAAGGACTCAGGGGAGGTTTTTTCACAATGAAGAGCTTTTGTGCAAGAGATGTAATTACTTTAGTCAGCATAATTTTGCTTTCCTGTTAGTTTTCCCTGGCTTGGGTGTTTGACTATACTTTAGAATAGTTATTACCTTTTCATTCAAGAAAACTCTGCAATGTGCATCTTTCCACATCAATTCGATAGAAATAAAATATTAGGCATAAAGGTAAAAAGCAAATGGAACCTAGGAAACAAAACAGTCATTCAAATATGCACTGGTGTAAGAATTCCCACGTGTCCCTCTTTGTATTAGGGCAGTGGTTCTCAACCTTTCTAATGCCGCGACCCCATAATACAGTTCCCCATGTTGTGGTGACCCCCAACCACTTATACATCACCGGGTGCCAGGGGCATGGCCAAAGAACAGGGGGAAAAAATGGCGGACAGCCTTCTTTGGCGACCCCTGTGAAATGGTCGTTCGACCCCAAATGGGGTCCCGACCCACAGGTTGAGAACCACTGTATTAGGGCAACAACTTCTTATGCAATTTGGAGACTGTGGCATTCGCACAGCCAATTCATCTGGAAGGCCAGTAACTTGTGGAAAAAGCATACTAGAAAAGTTTCTATTTCCATTATCTTCTAATACAGGGCTTTTCAGCCTTTTCACAGATTGTACCACTTTTAGGCAGGGCTTTTTTTCTCATAGAACGCCCAGAACGGAGTTCCGGCACCTTTTTTGGATGGAACCTTGTAGGGTAGGCAAGGCGGGTTGTATGACATGTGTAAGTTCCAGCACCTTTTTTTTTTTTTTTTAGAAAAAAAGCACTGCTTTTAGGACATAACAATATTCGAGTACCACCCATGTTAGCAAGGTGTCAAAAACTTGATGACTGAAAAAAAAGGGCAGGATTTTGGGTTTTACTGTTTAGATTCATTTGTTGTTATAGAAATGGCTAGTTGATACTATTATGGGAAAATAAATAGTTGAGGTTCGATCTTAATGTTTCATTCTATTTAATAGAGGAGGTCGGAAGCCAATACCTTTCCTTTTCCCTTCTCCCCCTCACTTTCCTCCCTTCTTCCTCCCCACTATCTCCTACTATTTGCTTTTGTATTTTTGTATTTTATTCCATAATCTAATAAAATGTTACAAACTGGAAAAAAAAAAAAAGGAAAAATGTACCAGTTTTAATTTCTTTGGTGGCGGTTCCTTTTTCCTCAGGCCACATGGAGGACCCCTGGCGGTGCAGGGTGCCCAGAGCCCTGGGCAGTGAAGGGCAAGTGCCCAGCTCAGCCCAGCCTTCCTCACGGGGGCGCCCAGCTGCGCTTACCTTTTTGAGGTTGCTACTTGGCTCGCTCTCCTTGGCCAGGTTGCTCATGGTGTGTGTGGGAGGGAAAAATGTGTGGGTCAGAGGGAGGCCTAATCCTTCTCCATGTGAGGAGACCCAGCTTTGTAACCAAAGCATCCTCAGTGATAGGATGGGAGACCACCAGGAGAGTCGGGAAGAGGGGACAAGGGGATGGCAAAAGGTCAGCAGGGCTGGTCTGGCCAAGTGCTAAGGCAGGATTTTCCTCAGACCCTCCTTCCCTCATTATAATCTCCTTCCTTCCTTCCCCCTTTTTCTTCTTTTTCCTTCATTCTCCTTTCCTTTTTCTTCCTTCCCCTCTTTCCTTCTTTTTCCTTCCTTGCTCTCTTCCCCTCTTTCCCTTTCTCCTTTCCTGTCCCTTTTTGGATGCTCAAATGCAAAAGGGGAAACATTTCTCGATGCCTCCTTGACTTGTGATCAAATGCCACTTTTGCTAGTAGTTTGTGGCCACTTAAAAGATTGAGAACAAACCAGGCTCAGTTTATCCCATGCTTGCATTTAGTGGTGGGGTCCACAGACAACAGTACAGCAAAACTGTCAAAATGGTGGCTGTGATAGTTGATCAGAGCTCCTCCGTTTTTTATGTGCAACAGCTTTAGCGTTTAGGAACAGCGGTGTTAGTTGCTTTTCTATTGATACATCATCCTTAAAAGGGCTCTCTTGGTCTAATTCAGACTGGAAATATAGCAAAAGAAAATATTTTTTCCCACTCTGCTTTGTCCTGTTTTCCCCACTGGAAATGGCTGCTAGCAACACACAAGGAGGGGATACTTTCCTAAGAGCTCACAGTTCAAGAATACCAATGTTAACTTGGATTGCCAACAAAGTTCTCTCTGTGACAAAACAAAACACAAAATTGCTTTTACCTTCGAACTGGGGCATTTCCAAATAAGTTGCCTCTTCCACCCTCCCTCCCTCCCTGACTCACTCCTTCCTTCCTTCCTTCCTTTTTTAAAAAAAACTGCCAGAGACGCCAACCAGAGGTGGCAGCAGGCAGGCAGAAGCTTCACATTTTGACCCCTTCACCCTGTCGTTGCCTCTGCATGGCTCTAAGCTGACCTCTTTCAGACCTGTGCACGTGTTTGTGTATGTTTGTATGTTTGTGTGTGTGTGTGTGTGTGTGCGCGCATGCGCGCGCAGGCAGGGAGCGATCTCACCCCTTGCAGCTCTGCGCCCTCAACAGAGACCTTCAGTGATGGCAGGCTGCAAACTAATGAAAGCTGGTTTTTTGGAGTATTTGTTTCTCTTTCTCAACGTGCTGCCATCGCGCCCTGCACCCCTCAGCTCCTGCCCCCAGCCCTGTGGAAGGCTGCAGGAAGCTCCACCGCAGTTTCTTTCCTCTCTCCCATTATTTTCCTCCCCAATGGCACAGCGTGGGGCTGCAAGAGGTGAGACTCCACCCCCACGCACGCGCACCCACACAGGGAGTGGTGAGCTGAGAGCTACGCAGAGGCCCTTCGGGCACAGAGACGACGGGGGCAGAGGAGTCAAAATGGGAAGGCTCCTGCTCAGAGCATCGAGCGGCTTAAAAAAAATAAACCTGTAAAGAATGCGGCCCCTAGGGACGCCAGCCCCCACGCACTCGCCACTACCCCATATACGTGCGTCCAAGGGGCAGGGCAGGGGCGGAGCTGAGACAGCGAGGTGGCCCGTCGCTGGTTCCAGGGCTATCCCATGAATCTAAGGCTGAGCGCGTTCTGGCTTTGATGGTAACTACGAGGTTGTCAATCGGCACCCGGTCAGCCTGGGCTGGCCTCTTTTCTTTCTGAGTGGTTAGCAGGGACGGCAGGCACTCGTTATCTCCTGTGCACGCGCTTAGGGGCAGAATGGGGGCAGCCCCTCGCTGGCCCTTTCCCGCCAAAACCTCTTTTTATATCCTTTCCTCTCCCCCCTCCCTTTTCTGTGCACCTCCAGCTAAGTGCTGCTTTCGGAAGCGCCAATCAGCTGGAGCCCGGTGCTGAGCCCCAACAGCCCTGCAGAAGTGCTGATCAGCTTGTAACCGCACATGGTCTGCCAAGCCCCGACAGCCCTGCAGCTCCAGCTGTCTCTCCCTCGGGCTTCTGTGACGCTGCCACCGCTTCAGCTCATTCCTCTCCCCCCCACCACCACTTCTCTAGTATGGTCGCGTACCACTGGTTGAAAAGCACTGTTCTAATACATCTTAGGATCCTTCAGACTCAGGAACATCTACCTCATAAAAAAAATTGTGCAATTTGAAATAAGATTTTGCTGATGCCTATTCCAATTCCTAGCTTTACTGTAGCACTGATTCAGAGTAATATTTTGATATCATAAGCAAGAAAGAATGAGAAAAACATGGGGGGGGGGACCCTCAGATTTGCTGGAACTATGCCACCTCAATAAGTCAGTTCCAGCTGAAAAACTCTCTTCTTGACGATGACTTATTAATTAGGAAATCTTGTTTCCATTCCTCTGGCTTGCTCTTAGGCAAACAGTTTACCAACTTACATAACAATCAGAGTGCACAGCAAGTCTTATTAACTCAAAAAAAAAAAAAGACTTAAAAGCACCAGTACTTCTTGGCCTACACCACTTTATGAAGGAATAAACCGTTAACAGCATTACATGATAGTAGTTTCTGATTACATTCAGATACATTGTTAAGTAAAATGAGTTAGGGCAGAATAAACCTGGTGCTCCTTTGTTTGCTAAGGCCAGATTTAACAGTGCAGAATGACAAAAATGAATAAAAATATAGCCATCATGTTGTTGTACACTGAAGGCTCAAATTTAACTTTCAGGCTTTGAGTAATAACTTTTATTGAACAAATGCTAACCAACTTTATATTCCATCACTTTTGCAGCTGTACAAGTCAGATTAAACATATAAAATGCCTTTTGCAGAGTTTTTAAATAGGATTGAATGGAGAGAGAGGTTATGCTATTTCAGGCTTTATCTTAAGAACAGAAAAAAGGAAGAATGACATGAGTTTGTTTTTTCCCACTCATATATTTTACCGGCATTCTAAGTTGGAAAATTATGAAAGGAAAAATAGAAGGTGTGGCAGAGGCAAGAAAATGTTCAATATCTTTTCCCAAATCTTGTCTTGACAGCTACAAAGCAATGGCCACAACAAATAGAGCAAAATAGTCTCTATATAGTTCTAACAGGAGAGCACTACACTTTGTGAAGTCCAACAGCAGTATTCAAAGACACATGTGGCCATTATATTATGGACTATCTCTCTCTCTTTTATTTTTCAGACATTCAAGACAACGCTTGACAACAATTCCCGCGGTATCTCTGATAGGATAGAATAGTGCTCACTCAAAATATGGTTTCAACTATATGATATATCTTCCTGCTACAACTGATCTGCATCTAAGGAAATGCTGCAATGCTAAACAGCAAGCTAATGAATAGGAGCGAAGATGAGTGTGTGACTTCTTCAAATACAAAGCAGGCCTCCTAATTTGTCTGACAAGGTATACTTACTTTCATGAGTTGTACTTCCTGTTCTGAAGCAAGTATTAATATGCATTTAGCTACTTTGGAAGGAAGAATCGCCTTACAAATTATGAGGTGTTTTAGCATGAGAATAGAAGAAGTATCCTGTTTCATTGTGAACAGGTTCTCTCACTGTTGATCAACCAAAATAGTGATAGGTTGAGCGAAGAAAGATCTCCATGCTGAACTGAGAAGTTGGCAAGTAATTTGGCATCTAATAAGGGTCAGATTCTCCAACTATGATTGATGGCTTCCCCAAGCAGCATCCTCCCAGAAATGTTTCTCTATATATCACTTTTCCATCAACCAAAGTGAGCAAAGCAGAAAAGAAAAAGAAAAAAAGAAAGAGAAAATGGGAAGGTCCTTATGGAAGGTCAGGTAAGGTCTGGAAGGCTTCAGCACCTTTTCCCTCGGTGCTTTTTCATAATCAGTTTGAAAGGAGTCAACTTTTTTTGCATTGGTAAACAGGAATTGGCAGTTCTACAGTATGTTTAAGCATAAAGAAATGAATGAAAGTCACTTTTCTTTTCCAGTCAAGGCCTAACTTTGCAAACATTCTGTATTTCCCTATACATCATGATATCAGCAAGTGAAAGGGGTGACCACTTGATAGGTTTGTTCAATATCTTCCTATAGGACTGGAAATAACACTGAGTATTCTGTGGATTGGATTCAATTACTTAGGGAAAACACATTGCGATTCAGGGGTTTTGAGGTTGGTCGGAATCTCCTTGATTTAGGCATGTAAATCTGAATCCAATTTACAAAATACTTTGGCTACATTAAGTTTTTTATAGAGATACCATATGAACATATCAAGGGCTACATTGCCTGCTTGCTCATATTTTGAGTATGTAGAAAAGGCAGAATTTCAGTTACTACAAAAACTGGACTGAAGAACTAATTTATAGGATATACCTATTTTTAAGGCTGATGCTCCCACATATTATTTTGGGTACTACTTTCCTATAAACCTATATTCCAGTTATGAAATTCAGCAGGACCCCACTGTGGCATGAATAGAAGCAGAGTTTTGGAGCACCTAAGACTTTTCATGGTTTACAAATATTTTAAGCTTCAACATAAGAACATATTGAAGAGTTTATGTCAATGTTATTGATATCATTATGCATTTTTAAAAAATCTGAACAAAAAGGAATAGCTTGTAGCTTGGATTGTTGCATAATTTATGTCTCTGTAAACCTCACTCCAAAATTGTCCAATATTAATTTTGAAAACTACAATACTTGGTTTCAAAATAGTCACAATAATAATTACCTATACATACTGGAGTTTCAATTCACACAAACCTTTGTTTCTTTTGTTAGCAGATACAGTTTGTAAGACTTGTGTGGAAAAAGATACAGTATGAACTATGGCAACTAACAAATCCCATGAATATGGCAGCATTTGCTCCAAATGCCACAATCAAAACTGGGCCATCTACTAGCCATACGTGGGAGTCCCTGATTTTCATAACAACACCATCCATATTACACATCAAAGACCAAATGAAAACGGTATCCATCTATGCCAATAGATAGGCAGGACTACTAGAATAGCATTACACATCACACCTAAATGCTGACACTTATGAACAATGCATTTTTCTCTTTCAATCTAAAAATGCTCTAAAACTTAGGGAAATTTGAACTAAAAGTACATTTATTGTAAATAGACATGAAAAAAGGTTGAGGTAAATGAGTAATTGTTAGGAACCACCCACATTTGATATAAAGATATGGGTATATACTGGTCACCTGAGTTGAAGAAAATACAGTCTCGAGGTATGCCACATATTTCTTTCAAGACAAATAAATTAAAATGATTTGGTCAAACGGTCTCACATTTCTTGCTATTTGGTAATTCCACGCTGAAAATTATAACCAAGCAACATAGGTTATTTACATTAGCTGAAGTAGAATCTAGTACCTGAAACCAAGAAGTTTGTTGGTCAAGGAACATGAAACAAAAAACATGTTCTTCAGACTAAGCTGCCTATTGTTCCCAGCCTCTTAATCACTATGAGAGAAGGCTGACACTTTGGAGCTGCAGCTGAGGTAACCAGTTGTATCATCCTCCCACCAGCTGAGTCAAGGAAACCACCCTGGCTCCTGAGACCACTCAAACAGCTGTTCTAAACATCAGTGATTTAGTCACTGGAAGGAACTACAGTGGCACAAGCCCTTTCTCCCCTTCCTTTCAAAGGCTGCTAAAAAGAAAGGCCACTGGGGGGGAATTGTTGATTCCCTCTCCACAGCAGCAGTTTAATTGGAGAGAAATCAAGTTGTTTCTTTCAACTGCTCTGCTTGCGTAGGGGCTCTGTCACCCTCAGTGATGAATCAGGCTGCTGAATCAGAGAAGCTGGCTTGTGTTGCTCATGGGAAGATAGGAAATCAAGTACAGCTGAGAGCTTCTGAGACCTGGCAACAAGATATACACAGCTGTTCCGGGTATTTCCTACAACTGGGGAGTCTTGCTTTGAGCCATCATTGAGATATCCGGCCTTTTTGACAAGCTCTGCAAGGCAGCTTTGGCGGTCAGAGGGTGGACCATGTTCAGCACTGCAAATCTCTCTGGCATATTTGTGTATGAATGAGTGACAGGTATCTGATGGCTGATTGTCTTAGGTAGGCTTCTATCCACAGTGGCTCTAAAGAGAAGAAATTCAACAAATTAGTAAGCTTATTGGACCAAATAAAGAGGAACAGATGCTCTTCTAGTCTTCTAAGTATCTCCAATGCTTTAACTGGGTTACTACCAAAGACTATTTCTAAGCTGTTATCTCCATTAAGTCATGGCAGAATATTGTCACACTGAATACTTTTCTGCCGCACTATTAAAAAATTGCTGGTTGGTGGTGGCAGAGAGGCATGGTGGCAATAATGTTATATCATAGATTTAAAATGTTATGGGGAGAGGAAAAAAGTGACACAGGTAGTTTGTTAGGGAAAAAAAATAATTGTTATGGGGAAAAAATAACTGTTGAATATGAGGCATCACATTCAAATGTTTCTCCTGTGCTTAGGCATAGCTTAAATTATATTTTAACTACCAGAAAGAATAGATAACTCCCTAAAATCCCAGAAATTAAAATTTCAGTAGGCCCATCTTCTATAGAGAATGCATTTGCCAGAATATCTACAATGGGAGCATGTGAATAGGGACCAACTCCATCTACTCAAAGACAAGCAATGGCTATTGGAAGGCTCCACATTGGCCTCCCAGGAGCTAAATGGATAAGGATAGAAAAAAAATGATCACTTTTCTGCTCTGTCTCTGTCTCACAGCTGCAGAAGGAAGAACAGGTAACTTCTGCCTCTTTCATGGATGGGAGACTGAGGGATACCAGGTAGCAACCGCAACACTTCCAGCAAGAGAAAACCAACTTAGTTTGCAACTTAATATAAAAATATGTGTGTGTTAATGATTAAGGTTTTAGACTAAGGCTGAGATGTCCCAGCTCCAAGTCAAACCTCAGCTAAGGATTCCTATTTGGTGACTTCAGGCTGGTTATCTTTTAGCCAAAATTTATAAAGGGAATTCTTGACTTGTGACCATAATTAAGGCTGTAATTTCAGTTGTAAATTGTGACTGTTACTAAGTGGGTCATGTAACCGCACCCAATTTTACAATCTTTTTTGCAGTGGTCATAAATGAATGCTGCAGTTGTATAGCAAACCCATTGTTTTTTGCTAGAAATTGGGAGTAAATACCAGTTTCGTAAATTGTAGTCACATGACTGCAGGGCATTTCAAATGGCTGTAAATGCAGGCCAGTTGCAGAAATGGTGGTCATGTGATGGGGGGGAACAGGCTAGAATTTTAAATGTAGGCTAGAAATAGATTTTTTTAGGGCCCATCGTAACTTTGAATGGTTGCTAGGTAACCTGTCATACGTTGGGTACTATCTGTATGTAATGAATAACATTGCTCACAATTAAAACTCTGTCAATACATTTTTGGCCACTGTGATAGCATTTGGCTAGTGGTTTAAGCAAGCTCAGGTATACTTAACCTGGCCCATATGTAACTATGAATCAGCTTTGGGGATAAGATCCAAACCTATTTGTTGGTCCAAATGCTGCTGGTCCTGAAAAGGGCCTCCTAATCTGTTTGCTGCCACAAGATGTTTGCCTCTGTGTGAAGACTGCTGTGTTAGATGATGAATCTGGTTTTCTGTGAAGATTCAGAGCAGCAGTCCTTTCAGCCATATGCTGCACTTCATCCCTGTTCACAACTAATGGAGGCTGTAGCTTTAACACAGCTTTTTTTGAATGAGGTATTTTCAGGTGTCTGGTTCTCACAAGTCCAGCTGTCACACCCATGGAGGCAGGTGAAGGACACTTTGGAGGAGAAGGTTGGAGAGAGCGCTTTACAATGCTTGGTAATGCATTTGCAAGGCTATGTGAGGAATCTGAAATGTAAGGGGAAAGCACACCATCAATTTAGCAGCAAAACATTTCACCCAAAAGGCTTTCAAAAGATTGCTGGGTTCTGTAAGGCGAATTTACCAGGATGGAAAGAATGGCCTGAATTCCCAACTTTAGTAATTCCAAAGTTCTAAAGGAATGATTAATTTTATACACAGCTCTCAATTTCAGTGCAATATATATCTTCTCTGAATATTTTAGATAACTTAATAACAGGAAATATCTATAAATTTGCAATTCTGTAAATAGCACTTTTTAAAGAATCTGTACCGAATATCTTCTTTGCCATATTTTCAGTGGGTACTAAGCAGAACTTGAGAACCAATTTGTGTAGTGGTTAAGGCATCAGGTCAGAAACTGGGAGACCATGAGTTTTAGTCCCACCTTAAGCATAAAAGCCACCTGGGTAACTTTGGGCTAATCACTTTCTTTTGACCGTAAGGAGAAAGCAATGGGAAGTCACTTCTGGAAAACTGCAGGGACTTGTCCAGACAGTCTAAGAATCACACACAGTTGAAAGAAACATAGTAGCAGAACTTAAAAATTTTAGGCTAGAATTTGAGTAATAAATTTCTATGTAATTTCACTATGATTATAAGGAACGGCTGCTGGAATTGGGTATGTCTAGTTTAATGAAGAGAAGGACGAAGGGGGACATGATAGCAGTGTTCCAATATCTCAGGGGCTGCCACAAAGAGGAGGGAGTCAAGCTATTTTCCAAGGCGCCTGAAGGCAGGACAAGAAGCAACGGATGGAAACTAATCAAGGAGAGAAGCAAACTAGAACTAAGGAGAAACTTCCTGACAGAACAATTAACCAGTGAATCAACCTGCCTCCAGAAGCAGTAAATGCTCCAACACTGGAAGTTTTTAAGAAGAGACTGGACAGCCATTTGTCTGAAATGGTATAGGGTTTCCTGCCTAAGCAGGGGGTTGGACTAGATGACCCCAAGGTCCCTTCCAACTTTATTATTATTAAGTTTGTTCAGATTCTCAATGTATCTCTCAGCAACTATCTTAAACACTTTGTGCACCGTGCTAAGCCATTTAACAACTGCAGACCATGAACTACACTACTGTAACTGAGTTTACACAGCAAAGAGTTGGCTCATCTCTGTGGCTTGCCTGTTAAATCTTTTTGGTAACATCTGAAAATGTTTAAATTATTTGCATCCCAAAATGCTGATCAATACCTGTAGTGAGACAGGAGAACTGCAGAAGTTGCTGCTATTGTTTCTAATACACTATAAATTCCATACCTTTTTTTCTTTCTCACTCTCACAGTGAGCTAAGAATACCTTCTCCTTTGCCTCAGCATTTGCTTGCCTTAATGATACTGCACTCTTTAAATATTATACACAAATGGCACTCCAGTTTGCCCTATTAATTCTATAATACCTGATGACATCTGAGAAAGATGGGGACAACAAGAAGCTTCTGATGAGATCATTTGTGTGATGTCTTGAAAGGCTTCTTTGAAATCTTCATCAAAGCTGTCACTCAGGCTGCAGCCTTTTTCTTCCTCTTCCCCTTCTTCATCACTGTGTGATATTTTCAGCAGCTGGGGAGATTTCGCCCTTTGGAGGGCTTGCAAGTGCCTGCCAGAGATTTACTTTTTAATTAGATGCCATCCTGCCCAAATTTTATAAAATACTGTACATTAAAATTATATATTAATAATTATTTATTTGCATATACGATATCCAACTTATATTATGTGTCATATACCTTTAAACTGAAATAATACCAGAAGGAAAAAAATCCACAGTAATGCTTTCATTATGAACTTTGTCCCATGCTATGCTCTAAAACAATCACCCCAAATTAGATTTTACAACATTTACCGGAAAATAATCAAATTCAGTCTTTAGCAAATCTTTCTTGAGAAAAAAAAATGCCATTAAAAAACTTCAGGACTTATTTCTGAGAGTGTTGTTTTTGTTTTTCTTCTAATCTGACATCAGTACAGTCCCCTCACCCACCCACCTTACTCTTCTCAAGAAAACTAGTCTTAAAATCCTAATTATGTTTTTTTCTTAATTTTGTAACCACTGATGTTGGCACAGTAATTCCTCATAGTGAGCATGACTGAGGGCTGTAACATTAAATAAACCATGATATGCAGATTTGTTATTGCCATGAATTTTCTCTCCCAAATAATTAAAAGTGTTGAATGCATTCTACCACCAATACAGAAAAGACAATAACTTAAAAGTGGAAAATCAGATATGATAGCAAAAGCATGAACTGAAGTAGGTGTCTTTATTTTTGAATAGACAACTATCTATGTAGACATTCTTAACCATTTTTATTTGATTTTTCCTCCTTTGTAAACTATAAACGCTGAATGAAAATAAGAGGAAATATGAATGACAGCTCCTGAGCATGGCCACAAAATGGCTGACATGCTTATGACAATGAAAACAAGAGAAAGCGCAACTTATTATTTTCTAAACTGATAACCTAGAATAGTTATTAAAGGACAGACTTTTCATGGAGTTTCATAGTTTCATATATTAAACAAAACTGGAAAAACAGTAGAAACAATCCCCTATCAAAACATTCCTAATGTTTGTCTTTCCATAGGCTTCATAGTGTGACACAATGCAACTGTTCATCATCAAGTGGAGATTACATTCACTTTCTGATTTATCTTGGGAAATTCTAAAAATTTCTGCTTAATAATGGACTAAATTTTGGCTCTTACTGGTAATGATGTTCTTGCAAGACTTTCAGCTCAGCAAAGATGTCTTTCTCATTTACACTGCCAGTTTCTTCAAAATCATAATTATGTTCTGCCAGATGACACGGTGGCTGGAACAGATTTGTTACTGTAGACTACAATATTAGAGAAATTATATAAAATATATCTGCATCCACTGAAAATAATTAATTTTGCCAAGGATTATTTTTTTAAAAAATTATCTCATAATCTTCCCATCACGGCCAATGTTTATTGTACCAAGACAGACCTGCTGTTGTGCCACAGTGACTGGAGGTAACAGGGGCAGCCTGACATACTATTGCAAAGCAAACATGCAAGATCAGGCAATATTTCAATCCAGCTCCATTTGTTATTTGTCTCCGGGTGAAGGCTTAGGTACGTTTTTCTCTATATATCAGATGTGTTCCTTCCCTTGAAATGTCCCTAACAGCTTTCCCACTTTGCTTTCACAAGTATGAATCTCCATGGTGAGTGAGAAGGTTTGCCAGAAACCCATTCATGATCAAAAGAAAAAAGGCTGATAATTTAATTAGCAATACACCGTAAGAAGAAGCAGAAAACTTTATGAGGGCTTTTCAGCTCTAGAAGCAGACTGAGAAACATGTACTAAACCTTTAAGTTTATTCTGAGCTCACTTAAATCTATACAGTTCTGTAGCTCCAACAGCTGTGGTGGGATTCAGCCAGTTCACACCAGTTTGGCAGAACCGGTAGCTAATTTTTTGTTGCCCAGGCCCAGAATGGACTTCCAGAAGAGGCATCCACATAGAGAACTGGTTGTTCACATATTTGAATCCCACCACTGTCCAACAGGCTTATTCTTCTTACATGACAACCCCCTTCTAACCTTCCCTCCCTTCAAGAATGTACTTATAAAGAAACTTACGCCTAATTTCTGTCTTCGTGCATGAAGAGCTTTGATGGGGTTCCCACATATAACTCTGCTGACACCTGCCAAAAACAAAATTTAAAAAGTGTCCTAATTTATAATTTCACATGCTTAAAAAACTCTTTCCGTTACAAAAACTTCAAATACAAGCTTATATGCAATTATGTTTTCTCCGTATTTAGAAAGAGATATTCAGAAAAAATAAAGCAACTTTCTATTTTGGTCAGTTGTTACTCTAAACCACAGAAAAAACACCTTTGTGAGCTGAGGTGGGATTAGTAGGAATGGGCAAAATGGTCAAGAATATCTTCACTCATTCAGCTTAAGACAGCATGATAGTCAAACGGACTTTGGAAAAAAAGTGTCAGAAATGTCATTATCTGTGCAGTGAAAGGCTTGGGAACAGCCAACCACAATGCAGAGATTACGTGATTGAACATAATCTCTAATGTTAACATAAAACTGAACCACTCTCTTTAACACGTATTCACTTCCCAATTTCAGTCCCACAAAAAATTCTGCAAAAGCAAGCCTATCGAAATGTTCGTGTACATACATTTACCATAAGCACATAAATGCACATATCATCCAAACATTTTTATAGGAGACAGAAAATTCCATTCTTGTTTGCTTCCACATGTTCTGTTAAGGAGAGGCTGGAGGATAGGAAATGGGCAAGAAAAGCACAAGGTGTTTCATTACCATGGGTCAGGTCACTTGAATCATCATCAGGCAATATCTCATCGTAGATGGTGGATTCCAGGAGAGTGCTACAACCAGAAAGCAAATGAGCACTGGGAGATCTCTGGAGAGCCTGAGGTCTGGAACCTAGCAAAAAATGAGTTGCAGCAGGCCGTAGAGCAGAGCCCAGCCTTCTCGTTAGGAATCCTAACTGAGAATCTAAACCGAAGAAGGGTAAGGGTCGGGAGAAGAATGATAACACGATACCGTAACATGAATATGCTATAAGTGTCCACTTCAAAGAAGCACAGAAAACAAATATGTTCCTAAATTAAAGTATTATTCCCACTAGAAGGTAGTAGCAAAATATTTCTGTACTGTTGCCAAGAAAACTACATGGATTCATCCATAACTACACTAAACATTAGGTTCAATGCAAAAGAAACTTTGTAAGCTAACATCAGGAACATTGTGCTGTTTATTAATCACAATTCTTTGTGCAAACATATTAACTCGTGTCAGCGATTATTCAGGTCAGCATGCAATAGAGAGTGCAAGCGTTCATAAAGAACGTTGCAATAGAAGGATTTTAAAAACAAAAGAACATTGCAATATAAGGATTTTAAAAACAAAAAAACATGCATACATATACATATACATATATGTAATACCTGAAATACTAAATAAGGAACTCATCCATGAATTGCATTACCCTGCTTTCATCCTGTGTCCTTGAGCTGAGAAATCATGGCAGCCTAAATCACACTGTCCCCCCCCCCCGTTTCCCTTAATATGCAGGATGGGGACTGTGCTGTACTATCTGTATTGCTTCTCCACAGGGCACTATAAGGGCAATAACTTGCCATTTTCTCTGCCTGAAATTTGAATGTCACTTACTACAGAAAAAGCTGCCACCAATCACCTTCGGGGATACATGCTGGGATGGCGTTGTAAAATCTGGCCTTTACATCCATTCAGCTGTTTTCCTACTGATCTCCCAAAAGAACTGTTAACTTATCAACCTAAAAACCAGTAGATGGCAGCAAACAGTTCTCTCTTAACAGCAAGGTAGCGGTTGCCTCCATTTGTGCAATATAGATGTGTTTTTGGAGCCAGAGTTCAAGGTGGGGTTTTTGTGTGTCTGTGAGAGAGGTGTTCAGCTTTCAGAATATTGTCATAATTTCTCCAAAATGACTGACCTCTCAACCAATTGATTAACTATTTGATGATAGCAAAGTCAAGAGCATTTTGTCTCTCTTGGCTTCAATCTAGTGGTAATTTTGATTTGTGCAGCCAAGATGCAGTTGCTGCTAAATACTGCTGGAAGAACCAGAGTTTGAGAAATCACTTTATTGATTCTGGTATCAAATTTAGATATACATATTCAGAAGAATAAAAGAGAAAAAAATGTCTGCCTATATTGAACCCCATCTGTACCAGGTTTCACTCTCTAGAGCAGTGTTTCCCAAACTTGACAATTTTAAGGCATGAGGACTTCAACTCCCAGAATTCCACAGCCAGCATTGCTGGCTGTGGAATTCTGGGAGTTGAAGTCCTCATGCCTTAAAATTGTCAAGTTTGGGAAACACTGCTCTAGAGGACTGAGCTTTTTAAAGGAACATTCCACAAAGAGGAGGTGCTAGGACTTCCCTAAGAAGAGCAATTGCTGTACTGGCAAAAGAATTCAATTACATTTTCCATTTATTGCCTTAAGCAGGGTACAGGATAGTGAATTTCAGATCTCCCAACACTCTAAAGATCCGGGGGTGATTAACCTGGCAATGGTGTCAAAAGCCAGGGTTCCGCTCTTCCTTACATCCAAAACAGCACAGCAGAACAGGTGCCAAAGCCACAGACTAGATGAAAGAGGGCAGTCCTTACACCTGTTGGGACAATGGTAGTCAAGCAGATAGCTCCCTCCACCCATGTCCCCTTACACCATCTCTTCCATGCTCCATGGGTTGTTTCAGATTTTCCCAGGGAAAATGCTATTTTCATGCCGGAACATCTTGGACCAGCTTCAGCCTCCCTAAGCAGTAGGTAGATTGCCTACGGGATGGAAACTCCATTATGAGGACATATCTTCAACAAATTGTAAAGTATGGAATATCTTCATGCCACGATATGTAGCTCTGTGAATAGCAGAAGGCGGATATACATGCTATTGCATGAGGCAAATGCATCTATTGCCATGTCTGTATTGATTTTTTAAACCAAAATAAAGATAAGTTTCATAGCCTTGCTGACTGCCTAGAGTTACTCAAGCCAGAAGGGCAAAAAGAAAAAGCATATATTTTAAGATCAGTGGGGCACAAAACAGCCTACACAATATAAGCACCTGTGCTTATTCTTTACCTATACAGCAATTACTATTTCCTCTGGCCGGATTGGGTAATATTTGGGGACGGAGTACTGGGAAACAGTAAAATAGAGCTGGAATATAAGCAGAGCACAATGCTCACTAAAGGACTATTCCAATCAGCTCTGCTGTAGCTGAGATGTTCAGGAGTGCTGTCAGAGCTCTGCAACTAGATTGCGGCTGGTGCTGCTGGCAAGTAAGCATTTGGAAGGGATGCCCTACAAAGAGCATTGGCACGGGCCAAGCATCCTTCCTTAAAGGGTTGAAACAATCAAGCAAACTCTAAAATGTTTAGCGGAGCTATTTCAAAGGGTCCCTTGCTCACCTGCCCCCTTATTTCTTTATGCATTCAGACAATACTTCCATTAAGTCTGCCGTTAAAGCAGTTATGCACATACATACAGATGGAGGTCGTTGGTGAAAGTCATCAGAGCAGATGCCCAGACTCTTCTGGAACATGAGCCTGCTTAACGTTCCAACAAGTGTGCTTTGTGGAGCACTCGTCAAATGCTTTTCCTAGCCTCACTGGCTATCTCTGGCTGCTTGCAAATAAAACTCTATATTTGTTTGCTGAGGTTTTAATGTATATACTACAGGGTGAATTTAAGAAACTGATTGCCTGTGTCTGTCTGGTTGCTTGGTTGTCTGCAGGGCGTTGGTTGTGTTTTGTTAATGGGCTGTTAGTACATTTATTTAAATAGTTGCAATGCTGGCAAAAATGCAGTTGCAGGTGGCATGGTGTCTTTGGACTTACTGTTTTAACATTAATCAATGCTATTCATGCAGTCATATAGCACTAGGACCTTTTCGCACTCTCCAGTAACCACAATCCACCAGTAATACTTGGAAGCATTTAAAGAAACCTTATAGATGAAAATTGGAAATAAAATTATGCTTGGTGCCAATGAGGCTAGGAAGGTGGGAGACGCTAATTAACCGCTAACTGACAAATGCTGAGGACAGATTTGCTTTTTGTCTTATACATTATGCATCATCTAACATGGTAAAAATAAAAAGTTATTTGTTCTATTAGAGTTGCCTCTGATTTATACACTTATATGTTTGCCTGCAAATCAGGGTGGAGTTGGGGTGATGCAAAGGATTACAGGGTTAGTTGAAAGAAAATATGTTTGCCACTACATCCCCTAGTACCAAATATTCCACAAATTGGTTGGCCAGTAGCATTATGTATGGATTGCTATCCCACCCACTTTTGTGGGGGTTTTTTTGGTGAAAACCAAAGCATCCCAGAACATTTTGAATTCTGTCCCAACGGAATACTCAAGCTGATCCAGTTTTGCTTTGCCAGAATGAAGCTAATTCAAAACATTCTGTAAAGCTTTCCAGGTGGGGTTATTTTTCTTAGTTCAAAAGAAAAGAATTTGTCTCTATCACAGTTAGTCTACTTAAGAGCTACAGAACTTATTATAAAAGAACATTTTCCTCAAAAAGAATAGCACAAAATCAGGATTCATTGTAAGCAATTTAATTAAGGAGTTACAACAGTCCTCATTAGAAGACTATTGATCTAAGCTATTGCATTACAGGTCAAAAGCCACCTCAAGATGGTCTTAAGCAAAAAGAAAGGATGGTGGCAACAGACCCACATCTTCTAAAACAAGCTTGAACTGAACAGTTAAGAAATTAAAAGCAGTTTGAGAAATGCTGAAATCTTGGCCTGTCTGTTGCTCCCAATCTTCAGCCTCAAATTAGCAAAATGTATACAAATGCATTTGGGGATATTGAAGAAAAAAATAGCATGTTGAAAAAGAATCCAGTATCTTCCCATCAATTCCACGCCTCCACTTGAAAGGACAGTAGAGATTTCAATCCTGGTGAACAATTATTTGGTTAATGATTATATATTAGGACAGATTTTTATTCTCTGTGTTTGTTATTAGGCAGTTGCCAAGAATGTTATGGTTATTTCCAAGCATTAATCCATATGAGGGACAGACAGTGGAATTAACTAACTATAACCCTTGAAATAATTTGCATTCTGTCCTAAATGCAACTGGGAAAATATAACATGGTTTATCCAGTGAGATGCCCCCCAAAATGAAGAGTGGGTTATTAGACAATCAGCCTATGAAGAAGCCAATTTAAGATGCTAAGATCCAAGGAGTAGGTGAATTTAAAAGATATGCTACCCATCAGCCTCCAGCTGATTTGCGGGAAAATCAAACATAAGCAGCCAAGATGGCAGAACCAGTGGGAAATCATCAGGAGATTTGAAAAGAAGAAGAATCTCATACTGAAGAATCTTCAATTTCAAAAGAGCAGATTGAAATCAGATTTGTGAATGTGTGAGATCTCACTACAGCACACCAGATCAGTTCCTGAGGAGACTGGTGACTATGACAGCTCTCAAGCAAAAGAGGCATATGGGGCGTATGCTCATACAAGTCATTTTCATTTAGTGACTGCCTCGCTTTAGTGACCATTCACAGTTATGACAGCGATGAAAAAATAACTTTGTGAGCAATCCTTGCATCTATGACCCTCACAGGTCTGTAAAGCAAAGGAAAGCTGAAGTAAGATCATAAGCATAGTCATGGTTTCACTTAGTGACCACTCCACTTCATGATCTAACTGTGATCCCAAATCTGGTCACTAAACTTTACTAATCATTCTATGAAAAAACAGATCTGCTCCACTCCAGTCCTACAGGAACATTCCTATTATGAATTTGGGGGGAAATAGTTTGTAGAAATTATAGAAATGTCAATGATTTCTTTTTCTCTTTAAAGGCTCCTAGAACAATTTTGTAGGTGGAAGAGTATTATATATATTCACAGATAAGACAAGAAATTTGGTGGCAAAATTAAAAAAAATCAGGCTCGGCTTATCCATGTATAGGCTTATCCACCAGTAGGTATGGTAAGACTTTTTTAAAAGTTCCCATATACAGAATCCTTATGGATAAGCCCCTCAGATGGACCAACCCTTCCATTTTTAATCAAAATACTATGAAAAATCAGGGTCAGCCTATTTGCAGTGGCACATTTTTCATATTTGGCTTAAAAATTGAAATGTTGGCTTATATGCGGATGGACTTATATGTGAGTATATATGGTATATTTGAATGTTTACCTATGTTTTATTTCACATATAATTAGAAAGTATTATTTTTAATTGTCTATGGTCATCCTTACTTCTGTGTCCAATAATATGCCACACAGGACTCAATTTATGCAAATTTACTGCATTTATAGCACATCTTTTCTCTGAGAGCTCAAAGTAGCTTATATGCACATATCTCCTAACACAATATATACATTTATTTTATAAAATGTGATAGGCTGAGATACAAAAACCTGCTGAAAAATGCCCTATGGCAACATAAACCTAGTCTGGTCCAAGTCCAATACTACTTCGGCATTTTTTCCTGAAAAAATATAAAATTAATGGGATTTCCCCCTCCTGTGATTCTTATAAAATAGCAAAATGGCCTGGAGGTATCCATATTCCAGGATATCCATAGAGTCTACATGTTGGTGTTTTGTTTTTTTTGTTTTTGCATGGTTTATATTTTAGTACTTAAAAGCACAGTTTTATTGCTAACCAAAGTTTAGCTTTACCCAAGATCATTTCTTTACACAATTAAATGATACTTAATCTTATTGTATGCTACACAAAGTCACTTTGTGTGTGTGGGGGGCTAATAAATGTGACAAATAAATACATATATGCTATTCTTGCTAATTACAGTCAGTTTTTTATGTATGCACAGATATTCTTTCCTCTTATTGGTCATCAAACAAAGTCTTACAAAATAATTTAGCAGACCTGAACCTGAAGCCTCCTCAATTAAATTTCCTTCTTTGATTGATTCCTTGACAATAAACCAGTCCTTATTCATTTTGCATGGAAAAGGAATAGCAGTTTGATTTGCTGGTATTTCATCCAAAAATTTTAAATGAGGGATGAGTTTTTTCACTTCAATTCTGTAATTGTAATCTGGGTCCTAGAAAAAAGTCCCAGAGAAAAGAATGCCTTCAGTTATTTTGATCACATTTATAGGAAACAATCCGAGAAACAAGTAAAATTGGAAAATAAATATAAAGGTAACAATAGCTAAACTTCTTATAAGATTAGGACTTTTTGTAATCATAATAAATAAAACCCAAGCACTATTTAGTTTCAGATACACTAAACATGCATCCCATGTAAATATATTAAATTTCAACTCACTTATTTAATCATCAGTATTTAGATAACCATTAAACAAATTGCTTTTGGGATCTACTGTCAACTTTTTAATATCTACTTTTCTTCTCTCCCAGAATTTTATACTGCCTCTTTTTTACCATCTCCATCACATAATATATTACTGTTAAATTTGTTTTATGTTCCAATTAGCACATTTAGATAAGATAGTGTCTGCTACCAGAGGTTTATGTCATTTATCATTCAGACTGGTCTGGGTTTCTGCCTCCCAATTGTCTGGTAATGATCACAAGAAAAACCTGTATCTTTTAAAAAGCCAAATTAGCTGCTACAGGGTCCTGATTAATGTCGAGACTCTGCAGATCACCTTTACTCACAACCACAGTTTACTGACAAACAAACAAAATAGCCATGCAATTGCTCCTTCAGTGACTATTATCATTATCCAGTATTATCCAATGTTAGATAAAACAAATCTAATGACCTGTAGTGGATTGTCTGAACAAAAACGATACTAATTACTGTAATACTAAACCCATTCCAAGGATGACCATGAATTCAAAGATGATTAAGCCTTAATTAAAGGAAATTGCAGTCATCTTTTTTGTCTGTCCTTCCTTTTGCTAGCTCTCACAATCCCTGTCCCTGATCTAAAAAAGTACACCAATCCTTGATCTAAAGCAGGGGTCTCCAAACTTGGCCGCTTTAAGACTTGTGGACTTCAACTCCCAGAATTCCTCAGCCAGCATGGCTGGCTGAGGAATTCTGGGAATTGAAGTCCACAAGTCTTAAAGCGGCCAAGTTTGAAGGCCCCTGATCTAAAGTGTGGCAGCTTCTTTTTATAATTTCCCCTCTGTAACATTTTCTTATATCAAAAGTCAGCGCTAAAGGGCGACCTACTTGTTTTTTCTTATCCCTAATATGAGAAACAAAAGAAGTTCCCTAACAGAGGGAACACAGAGTCCAGCCTCCCTGTTGTGCTTCAACCACAATGTAAGCCAAGAGTGAGCATTTGGAGTACTGAAGAAAGAACCTCTGCAAAAAAATGTTCCTCTTTAATTGCTCATACTGAATAAATGGCAATCAGCATTATTTATTTTTTCTTCTTTAATCTTGCTCATAATTTTTTTCAATCTAAGTAGCTACTTACCACCTTAAAAAGCTAAAAAGACAGTGTAAAATATTTTAAATAAACATGCAAATATATCTTTCTTTCTCTCTCTCAGTTTTTGGTAGTTTCTGGTCCCTACAGCTGTTACCGGCATTCAGCTTTCAAGCAAAAGCCAGAAGTGGAAAGATGATCGTTATTCATTCATCAAGATACCTCTTGCTTTCTGAGGGGACTAACTGTACAAAAATGTGAAATGTGTGCAGGTGACAATGGGGAAAGAGTAACAGATCTCTTGAAGGTGCTGAAGCTACAGAAACAAGCGTTCTTTGTGATAATCACATCTACCTACTTGAGCAAAGTATACTGTATTTCTGTTTCAGGTAGAAGGACATAAAACAAATATTTCAAATTTGATTAAAACACTGGAATATAAATAGATGACAGACTCCCTTTCTTTGGAAGTGTCCAAACAGAAGCTGGGTAGAAGCTGGAGCAGATTTCCTCAATTAGCAAGTTACTTTGACTAGATCTTTGAAGTTCCTTCAATTTCACAATTCCCACAAAAGCCTTCTGTAATCAAATATTTTCAGATGGTTTCAACTAAAATTTTTTCTGATTTCAAGCCAGTGGTCAGAAATGCTTTAGTGAGTCATGCATTGAGTAGAAGTTAGATTAGATGACATCTAAGGTATCTTTTAACTCTATGATCTTATGTGGAAATTGTAATTCGAAACACTTGGAGAATGCCACGTCAGGAAAAAGTTTTCTAAGAAAAACAGTACTAACAATAAAAATGGATAAAAGCCCAACTCAAAACCCAGTAAATAATTACAATTACTAATCTTTCTAAAATGCAAAACTCATACACTAAATACTAAATTGGCTGAAAAGAGCCACATATTTGTTACATATAAGAAAGATAGAAAATGAACTGAGACTATTGTATAAAAATATATGAATGTGGGAAGGAGTAGCTTTATTTAACAATAACAAAGAGAGAGAGAGAGAGAGAGAGAGAAGAAAACTCCCAAAGCAACACAACAACAATGCATGATGTGTGTATATGTGTGTGTAAGTTTAACACAATGCTTTCATAAAGGAAGATATTTCATTATAATTGTCGAGACACAATTTTTATCTATTAGCAATTTCTTCAAAAGTCATAAATACACAAATACACATATATATAAACACAACACACACACACACACACATACACACAAATACTGAGCCTTGTATTATTAATTTGAATAGATAATAGACTCACATGGAAGATTCTAATATAGCTTAGTCTCAGGCAATTTAGAGTTGTTCAGGTCATAACATGCAATTAACTGAGGCCATTATTCAAGTGAAATAACATTACAATTACATGCTTTATACAAATATGCTGAAGTTTACCATGTTTATTATTGTTTTTACTACTGTTTTGTTTTTTACAGGGAGTTTAATATAATGAGTAAAAAAAATCACCCTAATTCTGAGTTTCTAAATAGTCATCAAAAGCCACTCCAAACAGCATCTATTTTAATAAATCTAACTGGATTTTAAAGGAAAGGTAATCTTATCTACCTCACATTTTTAATGTGCCACTTGCCTATTCATGTGGAATGAATAGCAGTTCTCCCTGGGAAAGAATGAGAAGAGCCAGGCACATCTAGCAAACCCACTGAAATTGATGAAAAAGAATTCTGGCCGCAACTGTCATTTGGCTTTTAAGAGCAATGATTGATACAGAAAAAAAATGAGTTGCAAAGTGATTTAGGAAGATTGCATTGAATGCAAGATATAACCTTAACCCAGCTTTAAATTAGAACCCTCGATCAAAACTCTATATCATCTTTTTATTATACTTCAGTTTGTTCTGCTTGATTGCATCACGTATTGTGCATGCAAAAATACATTCTGCTTTGCTTCGGACATGGCAGTCTCCCCATGGCATTGCAAACTCTTGAGAATTACAGAAGTCATTTGCAAGGCCACAGAGGAACTTCAATAGTAGAAATGAAGAAAATTGTTTTAAAAAGGGGTAATTTTAGTACACATATCTCTCTTTGCTGTTTCAAAATATAATCATACCAAACGACCACAAGCTGTACTGATTTCACTAGAGTTTCTCCTAGCAGCTATGCTGTTACTGCACAGTTTTCTGAGTTTAGAAAGCTGAGTAAAGTGCTAGATATCTCCCAAGATTTGAAGTATAAGTCTTCTTCTCTATATTAGAGTTATAGTATGCCACTTATCTACTCATCTGAGTTGAGAAACAGTTCCTCCGAGGCAAAATTCACAAAGATAATTCTGCTACATTAAACCACAGCCTTAATTCATGATTGCATTGAGATAAATCAGCAAGATACATATTAGATTAGATAGGGCATATTAGCACACACCTCTGAAGACTGTGGGCTTGGCTTCAAGCAAATAAGATTTCCCTCTATTGTAAGATTGGTCAGCTTAGTACACAGCCGCAGGTATTGAATCTGACTAAGATCTTCAATGTTGTTTCCTTCTAAATCTAGAATTTCGAGGTTCTCCAGCAGGCTAATCTGACTTAAGTCACCAATATTGTTGTAGGCTATGTAGAGCTCCTAAAGAAAATTGAAGGACTTTTTCAATATTTAGGTGAAATGTGATATATTAAATAAAAATAATAAGGAACAATTAAGACATAATAGTAAAAGGAAGTCACACAGACTTTCTTATAGATAAGCAGCATGCACTTCATTTGTTTGTTGTCATAGGCTTTTACTCCCAGCATACAGTATATGGCTAATAAACATAAAACCTGCAATATGCCATGATTTCTTAATATTATGCAATAGGAAATAGGAAAAATAGGAATTATGGCCTGTGCCTACTATTACAAAATTTAGAAAATTAAAAAATAAAGCACGGTTTAAGATTTTGGCTTATTAAGAAAATGAGACTATTTCTGGTTTGCTAATAATAAACCTGAAATCATGAGTAAAGTTGCCTGTTTTTAAAATACATCTTCTATAAAGAGAGATCAAGTTGAAGCATTTTTTTTTATTTTTTATTTTTTTTCACACTTACGACCCATGCAAGTTGAAGCAATTTTTGATTCACAGAATAAGCCACATGACTTTTTTTTACACTTTCAGCTTACTATGACTTGGCTACTGAATTAACAAATTCTAGGTTCTGGTATGACTCATAATATCGCTCATAGAGTCGGATACAACTGAATGGATCCTCCTCCTCCTCCTCCTCTACTTAAGATTTATAGACCTTCCCACAGTGCTTTGCAGCATTCTCTGGGTGGTTTATAATGTCAGCATATTGTCCCGAACAATCTGAGTCCTCCTTTTACCAACTTCAGAAAGATGGAAGGCTGAGTCATACTGCAGGCATTCTAACCCCTGTGCCACCAGGGCTCCTTAATGATAATTATGGTAAATCTTCAGGCCAAGTTCTTCTCCTTGTGATTTCACAAACACATCCATGTAGTTTTCTTAGCAGCAATAAGGAAGTGTTTGCCATTGTCTTCATTGGAGACATTACTTCAACTTTCCAGCTGACAGTTATGATACTTCTTTTTAAATGAAATGCCACCAGACAAGGCGGTATTTTATGAATCAGATTTTACATATATGTATACGTTTTTAAAAATGCAATAACTTTTTAAACTTTTTTTTAAAAAATACAGTAAATCCCTGGATTAAAAACACCCTCGTATAAGGATGACCCATAGTAAAAAACGGAGGCTATTGTAGCAAAATTCAAGTTAAACACACAAAGGTTTGAGTTCATTACACAATACTACTTATGCAGCATTATCCAATAATTGTATTCCTGCTGAACACACACATTCAAGGATAGACCTTGGGAATGGAAGTCGGGACTACTGTATATTAACATGGATTTGATATCTAATTTCCTTCAAAGTAGTAAGGGCTGTGCGCTATGTAAACAAGTCAAGCAAAACAACGCATTAAGTCTTTGACTCTCCTACCTTCAAAGAGCAGCAGGCAGAGATCCCATCTAAATCTGGGAGCCCACAACGAGCCATCCATAGGACTTGAAGACGAGGCAATGCTGTTCCAAGGTCCCTTAAGAGAACAAACACCAGGATTCACCATTACTTAGCAAAGGAGTAGCTTCATCTTTAGAAGTTAATGAAAATATACTGTTTAACATCAGAGAAAGAAACAGAAAATTCATTTCAATTTTTATCAGTTGGAACAAAATCAGTTGGAATACTTTTTTTTTTAAAATCTGAACTAGAGCTGTGTATTGACAGAGACAGTTAAGGATTATGCTTTCCTGTGCGGTTATTTTTGTAGCCTGAAAGTATTTTTAAACTAGTTTACAGAGTAGTAATCTACCCAGGGAAGCAGACAGACATTTCAGAAGAAGGCACAATAAAACCATTTCTATATTGTTGCCAAGAAAATAACACAGACATACACCTTTAGCCATCAGAAGTCAAGCCCAACTTGAGGCAGACTTTACTTTTATGTCTATTCACAGAGTACTAAATTTGGAAGATAAAAGTTGATTACTTCAGGAAATTGGTTGCAATGACAATATATCATTTTACTACATATGTATGTAGTAAAAATTACATGGATTTTGTCTGCTATAGTATCAAAAAATGGACTCTTTTAGTGAATTCATAACTAAAACAGTTGTTTTATAAAACATAAAACTTTTTCTAACATTTATTTGGAATTCCAACATTTAACAATTGCTGAACTCTGGAAAAGTAGGTTCTGACCTCTCTCTGTATAACATATTTTATTTGAAGGGGAATACTATCATATACATCCTTATACTCAGAATTATGTATTCCTAATTTCCCCAGTCCCTCTTTGTAGTACAGTATGTAATATCCCCAGTCATCTTCATTATCATTCTCAAAACCTATGTTAGTTTGCCTGAATCTTTCTTAAAATGGGATATCCAGAACTGGATCCAATATCCAATTCAAGACCTAACTTCCTTTGGTTTAGAAGCTAAACTTCTGTTAATATAGTCTAAAACAGTGGTTCTCAACCTTTCTAATGCCGCGACCCCATAATACAGTTCCCCATGTTGTGGTGACCCCCAACCACTTATACATCACCGGGTGCCAGGGGCGTGGCCAAAGAAAAGGGGAAAAAAATGGTGGACAGCCTTGTTTGGCGACCCCCGTGAAATGGTCGTTCGACCCCAAATGGGGTCCCGACCCACAGGTTGAGAACCACTCGTCTAAAATAATATACTGCACTTTTGCAGCACATAATATTGCTGACTCATACTCATTTTGAAATCAACTAGTATTCCAAGATATTTTTCACAAGTACTATTACAAAGCTGATGTTCTTAAATTCTATTTCTATACATTTGCCATCTGATTTCTAAATGAAGAATTCTTTGCCTCTATTAAATTTCATTCTATTTGGAATCCATTTCTCTAACCTATCAAGAGCATTTTGAATTTTATTCCTATTGCTCTAGAAAATGAGCAGTTCCAATTTATAAGCAACCCTGATATCTCTTCAGCCAAATTTCAAGGTCATCTATGGTTATCCCATCACAAACGTCTTAAAGCAGAGAGTGCCACCCACACAAGGCAAGGAGAGTGCATCCTTAGATGACCAACAGGAGGGTGGATAAAAAGATCTTCAACCAATATCTTACTCCTAAATCCATGTTCTGTCTGTTTGGAGTTTAAAACACCTGAGCATTCCTAATGGGATAGAGTTCTGCAAAGTCAGCAAGGAGCCTGCTCAGTTTATTAAAACAAAGAGAAAAATGTTACCTAAAGCTTAACCCCTGCAGGGAAAGAAATCCCAAAGATAGTCTGAGGAATGAATGGAAATAATGTCCTTGCAAGTTTCACAAAGCTGGAGCACTTCTAATTAGAAACATGTGATGCATTTCTTATTAAATCTCACTACACCAGAAATATATTGGGTCAACTCCTAAACAGAGACAATGTCCGATCAAAGTTTTGAGCCTATTTGGGCATGGGGTCAAATGTGGATGAGCCCTTAATTTCTTCCCCCTCGATCTCAATCTCATCCCATTATTCCATTTCTCCAGATTGTGCTGCTTTCTGCCTATGCAATATTGGATAAAAATTACAAATTCTGAAGAAAAACAAATTTTGCAAATGAAAGAAAAATTAAGAATATTACTTTACAAATTGTACAGTTTATTCTGACTATACTGGATTCTTCCTCCAGCTGGGTATAGAAATCTAATCTTCCCCATGATAGGAATAATGAACTGGCTGGATTCTACCTCACCAGAGTTATATGTAAGTTTTAAGACACTGCAAGATTATTTGCAGGAAAAAAATAAAACAAAGGAGTCTTAATATCTTTTAAATCTATAGAAGGAACAATTTGATTACTTATGTCCAAGAATTATACATAATAATGTATGCTTTTCTAGGCTTCATATAACCAGGTCATTGGTGGGATTCAAATACCTGAACAACCAGTTCTGTTATGTGATGCAGGCCTGGGCCTCCGATGCCTAGAACGGACTTCCAGAAGAAGTCAGAAGTCAGCATGGGCTGTTCTAGGCCTGGGAGGCCTCCTCCAGGCCTCCGATGCCTAGAACAAACTGCTGGAAGCGGTATCCATGCACTTCCGGTGGGCCGTTCTAGGCCTGGGAGGCTTCCGAAGCCTAGACTGGACTTCCAGAAGCCAGCCAGTTCTCCAAATTCAGGTAAATTTAGCTACTGGTTCTCCTGAACCCATGTGAACTGGCTGAATCCCACCACTGAACCAGGTACATAATGAAGACAATTCAGAAATAAACCTCCATTTGGTTATCAATGACAGACAATCGCAGATACAGAACTTTTATTATACATATTAGAAAACTACATTACATTACTTTTTGATATAATCACCATTCAAATTGAGGCACTTGTTATAACATCTTACAAGGTTTGAAATTCCTTAGTAGTAGTCGCTTGGTGCTAAATCTGGGCTATAGGGGGGGTGATCAAAAACATTCCAATGGAACTGCCTCAAAAGTTCTTGGGTGTGTCTAATGATGTGCAGGCGAGCATTATCATGAACCAACACCACACCAGAAGTGGTGCCATAGAAAATCCCTCCAAATGTGAAGAAGTGAAAGTGCCTCAATTTGAATGGCGATTATGTCTAAAAGTAATGTATCGTTGTAGTTTTCTAATGTGTATAATAAAAGTTCTGTATCTGCGAGTATCTGTCATTGATAACTAAACAGAGGTTTATTTCCAAATTGCCCTTGTAATACATTTGCATAGTTTAAGATTTAAATCACTACAACTAAAAACAGACTTAATCAAGTTTTTCTCAGGTACAAAAGATAAAGTGTGTAGTCAATCTCTCTGAAGTAGAAAAAAAATAAGTAGTAGGAGACTTGAATATTACTTCTGACTTAACTTTCTGAATTATTATTTCTTACCTCACAGATGTAAGTACACTTCCATTCAGTTTTAGTTGTTTCAGATTAGGGAGGTAAGAACCTGTAACATCAGGAAAGAAAAATAAAGATAAGCAAATATATATGTCGTAATCTTCTCAAACATCTAATTTCAATTATTTTAATTTTAGAGTTTTTACATTCATTCACCATGACATTTGACTGATTTCTGATGTTTATTATTTTCACAGCAACATTTTTTTTTACCAAAGTTGCCTAGAAATGATGCATTCTATGTCCGACTATATTTTAGGGCAGTAGTAACTGACATAAAAGATAACATTTTGCCTTTACTGAACTTGTTTTGCAACTCTTTTTAGGATGGTTGTAAAGCGAGTCACCATGGTTGTTAAACAATTCTCATGGTGATTAAGTGAAGTATGTGGTTTTTAGACAAATCCAACATATCAACTGGGCGTCCTTTTGCTGTTTTCTGCTGGAAAATGGCACAAAAATCACAAATTGTATTTATATGACTGAGGACACTGCAACTGGTCATAAATGTGAGTCAGTTGCCAGCGGTCCAAAATGGATCATGTGACCATGGGAGGTGTTGGTGGCAGTCATAACTTTGAAAACGGGTCATAAGTATCTTCTTCTTTTTTTTGACTCTGAATGGTTGTAACTTTGAATGGTTGTGACCAGTCAGTAAGTGAAGACTATCTGTAGATATGAAATTCTGTTGTGCTATTTTGTATAAAGAGAAGGAAGGTGGGCATAATAGTTCCTAAACATGCAAATTGGCTAACTGCCATGCTGGCTTGGAATTGTCTTAGCACATCCATTTAGTCCCACATTGAGGACAGATATTTGAGGGTTATTGCTTATAATAAGTAGTAGTTTTATTCTCTAAACATTGAAATTGTTTAATAACCCTCCTTTTAATGGTAATTCCATGTTAAATCCACTAAAAGTGGTAAATGGGAATTATATTATATTAATGCTGCATTATAATTGTTGAAAAACATTTAAAGTTAAGTTTTTTAGAAAAGCAAATCCTTTCTCTGGGATTTGAGAGATGCCCTCCCCCATGATCAAAGTAACTTTTTCCAATGTAAAAGTACTTTTTGCTAGAAAGTGTGATGTACACAACAAAATTAATTGATTGGCTTAAAGTATCTGAATCTTTAAACATTTTAGAATGTTCCAGAATTTTCAGAAAAGGAGTAGTAACTGACCATAAACATTTAATTAAAAATATAGATTTTTTCAGAAATTTCATCACCCTTCTTATTTAGCTCTTCTAACCCACACAGATGGCTCCCTCCTTTCTCAGTGTCATCTCTGTGGTGTTCTTATTGCCTCACTTTATATTCTCTCAAAAACATTGCATCCTCTTATATGCCACTTGCTACTCATATCTTTCTGGTTTTTTCCTCTAAAAGCATACCTTGATATGGAATACATTATTTTCAGATAAGAAAGTAAACATGATGCATAATTTGTACCGTATATGCCGGCGTATTAGGCGACCCGGCGTATAAAACCACCCCTGTTTTTATAGCCGGGCCGCATTCCTAGAACGTCGTCTTATACGCCGGAAACTACCAGTATTTCCGGCGTGTAAGACGACTCGGCGTATAAGACGACCCCCGTCTTTGGCGCCGATTTCAGCGCTCACAGAAGTCGTCTTATACGCCGGCATTTACGGTAGATCCCTACCAGAATAAATTTGTTCATTAGGTATTTTTATACTGCCAGTATAATGGCCCTTATAGAATAGAATACTTTATTTGAACAAGGAATTTCTCTCTGGTGCAGAAGCTCACAGTACACATGCAAAACAACAGAATGATAATCACAATAATGATACCAATAAGAGAAGGTGGAAGAAAAGATGAGAAGAATAATACAGCCATTTGTTGTTGTTAGTTGCAAAGTCATGTCCGACTCATCGTGACCCCATGGACAACATTCCTCCAGGCCTTCCTGTCCTCTACCATCTTCTGGAGTCCATTTAAGCTCACGCCTACTGCTTCAGTGACTCCATCCAGCCACCTCATTCTCTGTCGTCCTCTTCTTCTATTGCCCTCAATCTTTCCCAACATTAGGCTCTTCTCCAGTGAGTCCTTCCTTCTCATTAGGTGGCCAAAGTACTTGAGTAATACAGCCATACTACATGGGTAAATATACTTAAACATAAGACAGTACTGTGGGAATTAAATGTTCAGTAGAGTGATGGCATGAGAGAAAAAAAACTGTCTGTATCTAGTTGTTTTGGCATGCAATGCCCTGTAGTGGCGTCCTGAGGGGAGGAGTTGAAACAGTTTATGTCCAGGAAGTGAGTGAGGGACTGTAGCTATTTTCTCAGCCCTCCTTCTGACCTGTGCAATATACAGTTCCTCAATGGAAGGCAGGCTAGTTGCAATTATTTTTTTCTGCAGTCCTAATGATCTGTTGAAGTCTATACCTGTCCTGTTTGGTTGCTGTACCAAACCAGATACTTACAGAAGAACAGACTCAACACTTCCTCTGTAGAACTGTATTAACAGCTCCTGGGACAGTCTAAGCTTTGAGTTGAGTTGATGCAGGAAGAACATTCTTTGTTGTGCCTTTTTAATGATGGTTCTAATGTTAGGTGTCCATTTCGAATCCTGGGAGATTATAGAATCCAAAAATTTGGAGGACTCTACTGTTGATAGTGTGCTGTTGCATAATAATAAGAGGTGGTAAAATAGAAGAGCTCCTCTCTCATCTCTACAGTTTTAAGCATGTTCAGCTTCAGATTGTTCCGGCTGCCCACAGGGCATCTATATGCACACTCATCACCATCTTGAATGAGACCAATGACTGTTGTATCATCTGCAAACTTGAATACTTTAACAGATGGATCCTTATAGATACAGTCATTGGTATATAGAGAAAAGAGTAATGGAGAGTGCATACACAATGTTGAGTGGCGCTTGTGCTAATTGTTTGGGTATTTGATGTGATTTTCTCTAGCTTCACCCGTTGCTTTCTATCTGTCAGAAATCTTATAATCTACCTACAAGTATGGACAGGAACAGCTAGTCAGATCAATAATCTGACAGATGATGTATATCTAATGTTAATGCTCACTTCTGGCTTATTTTATAGCGGACTTTTCTTGCCAAGAAGTTCCAGTATATTTTCGATATCTGCTTGCTTTCTTGATGCCAGCTAGTTTATATAAACAATAGAATTGCTGATAAAGTCTTTGTTTCCTCTGTAAGAAGCAATCATTCAAGTATACACAATCAACAAATCAGTAAGTCTTTTGGGATACACCCCTAGCAATTCAGTATGTAAAAGGACAGACCCGCTTCAGTCCACTCACTGACAAACCTATATGGACAGACAGTATTTCAAATTCCCCCTCAGACATGAAGAAATTTACCTGTGGAACTCGTCTGATAAGTCCTATTTGCCCTACACTTGTGGCTCAGTGGACTTTTAATATCAAATAAGCAACCATTTTGCAGATTAAGGCATCTTTAGCAACTCCTCAAATTACCTTTGTAACCAAAAAGAACTAGGTAAATGTACTAAATGTACTTTTAAATGTACTTTTCGTCCATTTTTAAATATTTTACTTTTAGTAGATTATACTGTTTCAATATATAGTAAACTATGGATCACATATAACAAATCAAACAATTTACAGTTAAAATAAAAATATCATTACAGATAGTTTATCTTAAAACAGTAACCCTCAATCTGTAGTCCACAGAACACAGATGATCTGCAGAGGTACACCAGGTGGTTGACCAGATTGATTGTGAATCAGCTAATTTGCAAAAATAGATGAATGGCTCAAAAACTGGTTCACTAAAATATATGCTGCTACTTGTATTATCATTTGTGAATATTAACATTCAGAAAAATTAGAACAGGTACAAGTCTTGAGGGAAATCATGAGTTCACATATGCTGGGCTAAGTAAAATGATCTCACACAAGAAATCCAAAAAGTGGAAATAGCAAATGCAACAATGAATATCCATCATTGGTTGAAATCCATTTGCTCCTGACCACTTCATAGTTAAGAAAATTCTGGACCAGCAAGTTTGTGTAGAGAGTGATTGTTATTATATTGCATAAAATAAAATACATAAATTACAAAAAAATACAAAAAACCCCAAGTGGTAACTAAAAGCTCTATATTGTATCATTTTTGTTATACAATTTAGTTTAAAAAGGTCTTTAAAATGGAACTCTGAAACATTCTTACAAAAATGTAACAATTCAGAAAATCTGAAGGGAGAATGTTTTTTTCACAGAACTGCGGTGGATCATGCTTTTCTACAAGTATCTTTTTATTATTGTCATTGTAATTACACTTATGAAAGGATTATATGAGCCTTTTCTAGGACATAACCAATACTAGGGAGAAATGTTCCATTGGGTCAGTCTAAAAAAAATGAATTTATAAGACAAATTTCATATATTTTCTCCTATTATTTTTTTTATTTCTAGAAATGATCACTTTCTATCATTATGGTTTTTTTACCCAGATAAGACAACTTCAGACATAAAATCAATTTAGTGAATTTTCCAAAGGCAATATTAAATACAACTATTGGTTCATTTATGGTTCTCACATGTTAGTTTTATTTATTTATAACCCAACCTTATTATTTTTATAATAACTCAAGGTGACAAGCACACCTAACATGCTTCCTCCTCCTATTTTCCCCACAACCACCAACCTGTGAGGTAAGTTGGGCTGAGAGAAAATGATGGATGCGTTTCCCAATGTTTTTTTTAAGGGAATACTTTTTTTAAAAAACTTGCTTTAAATGCAGTACAGTTTCAACAACATTAAAATAAATTGCTCCATTTGGGGAGCTCTAATGCTTTTAATATTGGGATATGTGCTTTAGGCTCATTGAATGAAAGGTTTAAATAATCTGAGACTGAATAAAATTTTCTCACCAAAATTTCCCAGGCTATTCTCTCTGGTGTTTACATGCATCTCAAGGGCCTTCACTTGCCGCAAATCATCTAGCCCTGTCAATGCTTTCTGCAATAATAAACAAAAAGATAAATATATACTATGGGTCCACAATCACAGTACTTCAAGAAATAATTCTGATCTTAAAATTTAGGAAGTCAAACATTAGTTTTGAATTCTAATTCTGGCATTAACTTTTTTAACACAAGAAGGCAGGTATAACTATGTAATGTTATTAAAGAAAGTCATGCTGCTTGGATAAAGGCTAGATTTCCTAGCAATATGAAAATTTAAAAATACAGAATAAAATTAGTAACAAAACAAGTACAAATTTAAAAACCTGACAAACCAAATGCTACTATTTCACCTGTAAATATGTTCTTCCATGGTTACTCCAATAATGAGAAAGCTTAATTTGATTTGATCAAACTTGAGAAAATATTCTTAAAAACAGGCAATAACATTTATTTACTGAATGACTCTGCTAAAGAAATAAGAGCTACTTCTTTAATTATAATCACTGCTAATAGGAGACAAAAAATAATATTGAAGCAAGTTGGGTAGAGAAAGAAACTTTCAGTTTTTTCTTTCCTCCAGTTTTCAAGTTATATTTTTTTGAATTGCTAATTCTTTTTCTAACCAGATATGCAGGCCATAAAATTTTCTACTTCAATAAAGTTTGACAGTTTCAAAGATGTATGATATTTATCTTCCAGGTGATTGCTCTAAAAAGAAGTGTACATTACAAATGCATTGCAATTATATTGCCTGTTGCTCAACATTTCCGACATCCCAATAAAAAATATTTTTTCTCCAGACATCAGTGATTTTATTTTTTTTAATTTCAATGTTCAGACCTCATAATATATGTTAGAGTTATTTTTTCTTAATATTAAATAATAGTACTTAAACAGTTGTGTAGAATAAGAATCCTGGGGTGAATATGCTAATTTGTATCATACTTATTTGCATAGGGTTTTTTTTTTCCAGGAAAACACATCTCAGTTTCTTGCAATTGTTTGAAACATTCTTACACACTCTGTCCAAATATTTACATAACCAAATAAGTAATTAATCTACCCCAAATCATTCATATGCTATACAACAGCAAATAAACTATTTTTATACATCTGCGTTGAAAGCATAATGAGGATATTTCCTGAAAAGTAAGCATACTAAGGATATTTCCTGAAAAGTAAGTCCTACTGTCAGATAACTCTATTTTGCATTGTCATGTAAGCCAGTTTTTATAATATCAAGCCATGATATAAAAACAACCTTCTAGAATGGATGGGTAATCATTGCAAAATTAAGATGTCTAGTTTTGCTATTCCTCAGGCAAATTTAAACTTTGTTTTGTGTTATAGGTTAAGAAATGTACTATTTCAGCATTAGATATCATAGACACTTATATAAGACATGTTTGGTGTTTTAGCAGTAGCCACAAAAAAACATTCACTGCAAATCCGCAAGGGACTACAGGAACAGGGCAGAAAACATCCTGCAGCCAAGAAGGTTCCACACATATTTGCACTCATCACTTCTAAATGGCCTGAATGACTCTCTAAATAAAAGAAGGCAAATGACCAGCTGTTCTGCAAGGAATATAAATCTTTCCATTCCCCACCATCCAGTCAGAACTGAAGAAGCTTCTTGGATGAGAAGCGAAACATCTTCAAAGAAAAAGAAAAACAAGAAAGTCCAGTTGCCACCTGAAAAAAAGCACCTTTGAGACTCTAGGCAAGATGGGTGGCATATACATTTAATAAATAAATAAATACAATATATTATCACCTCTAAAATCCATCATAGCTTAGGATCCAAATATTTATGAGACTACCCCTTTCTTATTCTTTCTATCTGGCACTGTTGGCTTTCTCCAAATCTCATCTATAAAGCAATGCCTTCTTGCAAGTCCAAGGAAACAGATCTTTTTTCTGTGGTTGTATCTGCCCTATGGAACAGCGTGCCTCTAAAACTCGCTAATTTTGCAAAATCTTTAAAAATTTGTCTTTTCCTACAGACTTTGTGAAGCAGGATTGATTATGATCTATTTCTTGCTATTAAATTGAATTTAAATTGAAGTGTAACTGTTGTTCAGTTTGTTTTGTTCTTCCCCAATTTGCTATTAATTTCCAGTGTTTATACTTATGTTTTAATTCTAGTACATAATACATACCTAGAGTTCCCTTTGTGTCTAAGATAGCATACAAATTAATTAAAAACACAAATCAATACATACAATTTCACTTCATCCCTGGAATTGGCAACTGGGTATGGGAATGTCCAGATAATGTTGTCATCAAACTCTTTCAGAATGAAGCAGGAAAAGTATATAATGGTTTTTATGAACATTAGCATGACAAATATATTTTATCTAGAGAGCATCAAGGATTTATATTGTCAGCACAGAGTATGCCACAACTCCTAAAATGAAATCTAGTTCCAGAGGCCAGCAATCTCCCTGCATTGGTCTTAATGATTTGGGTTCAAATCAACCAACATGATCCAGCTCTGTGTTACATGCCAGTTAACATCCAACATTCCCACTTCCGTTTTCAGCAACAACAACAACAATCAATCAATTTGATAACAATGGGCCTTATTTCTAAATTGCTTTTGTGTTACTGCCCCCCCCCCCATCTATTTATCTTATAGCACATGGCCTTCATCTGTTACTGGATAATCTTTCCTTGATTTCTGGTAAACTTCCCATCACTGTGCAATTAAAATCGCAGTTGCACTGCTGCCATGCTGCCTAGCTGTGACTTTTGGCTTGCATATGCCAAGCCAAATAGCGCTCTTCTTTTTTTCCAGAAAGTTTTACCAATTATCTATTTTTGTACTTGTTCAGTCTGCCTGTGGCCTCTGTCAAATTCATTTACTTTTATTACTCAAAAATAAGTCTCTGCCAAGAGGGAAAAGGAAGTGATTTTAAATAATGGATCTGGCTTGCCAATAAAAATGTTGTTTTTCCTTACTGATGATTGCAGAGCACGGTTAACTGTATATACCCAAGCTTCCAACAACAAACTAGGCAGATGATAATGACAGAAAAACATTAATATTTTTCATTGAGGGAAGGAGAAAAGGGACAGAAGGGAGGTACAAAATATATTGAAATCACTAATTCAATTATTGCAAGTTAATTATGAGAAAAAAAATTAAATTACTAATATCATTCATTTTTAAAGGTATATTTTGTACTAATAAATTAAATGCTATCAGCAATGGAAGCTCACTTAGCCAGTTTGTGCCAATGACTTTCAGCACAACCCTTTGTAGGATTACTGTTGTAGGAAAAAAATTAGAGAGGGGAATATGCTAACTTGAGCTCTGAAAGAAAAGGAAGGATATGCTCTACATTTAACAAATAAAATAACATATTAGATGATGGAAAAAATGCCATGACTGAGTTCCATGGAAGACAAGAAGCTATAAGAGTGAATAGATTCTGATAACTGGAAATCCTTGCAACCCATATTGTTCCTGATCATTTGCTATGCTGATATGATGGGCACTGGACTCCATCAATGTATGATCGTCACTGCCTTACTACCCCATTTAAATAAGAGCCTGGATAAAGAATCTTTTTTACAGATAGGGGCTACTTTTTTTAAAAGGGCCAAGGCCTGCATGGGACACGTATTATTAATTTTCAGAATTGTTTTGAAAGCAGTATTTTCACAGAACTTTTAGAACTGCTCACCAAATTACTGCTGTCCAAGTTTAGCTACTGTTATGTGGACTGTCTGAATACTGAGCATTTGGTTCATAATGGCATTGTTTTCATTCCAGAGGACACAAGAAAAGATATGGAAGCAGAAGGAAAAAGTGGCAGAACAATTCAACTAGATGAGTGATGAATTAGAACAGTGATGGCGAACCTTTTAGAAACCGTGCCTCAAAACTGCCCCCTGCCCTTGCTCAGCCTCCCGCCCTGCCTGCTCCACCTGTGCCCGCCCCCTGTCCCGCCCACCCACAGGACCACGCACCGCCTCCATGGCCCACTGCAGATCGCCCAGGCAGCCCTGCAGCGCATGGCAGCCATGCCCTCTGTCCACACCCCGCAGCATAATCTGCACCCTATGGAGCATGAGGGCGGAGTCTTGTCCCTGCTGCCTGGCTATGTCCTTGGCTGTGCTGCTCCGTGCAGGCCACACGCAGGGGCGACTCTCCTCCAGGGGGGCTGCTGGTGAGGAGAGGGCTGCAGGGGGGAGGCGGGGCTGGGGTGACCCACAGAGAGGGCTCCAAGTGCCGCCTCTGGCACGCATGCCATAGGTTCACCACCACTGAGTTAGAAGGTTACACACATGACATCTGACATCTGATTTAGAACACAACTCAATAAGTATTTGTAGTAGTAGGCAGAATGTAATGGAATTTCTGAAAAACATTCCCCAAACTCTGGATCCCTTAAATTTCACTTTTTAAAATCAGAAACTTATGTTAAACATATTTGCTTTAGAAATTGGAATAATATAAAAAGATTGCCAGTTTAATAAAGATGTTGGCTATATCATTACATTTATTTTAGCATTTTTTTCACTTGCATTTCTTTTGGCTTCCTAAGCAACAAATTTATTTACTTTTCATCACAAGGGAAAAAAACTTTTAAACTATATCAAACTTCATTTTTTTCAAAATAAAGAGAAATTTTCTTAATTAAATTCCTTAAAAAAGAAAATAAAGGATTTCTCAAATTCCTTTCCCACAGAGAAATTGACATACTGTGCTTGTGGCTGCCTGATTCCCAATCAAGTACAGGCTGTCATCTAAATACCTTACTGTCAGGACACGAACTGCACCTTAGGCTTTTTTTCAGCCTTTAATTAACCAAATAAAAAATGCATGATGCAACAGAATAAAAAAATCATGATGAACTTTAGCCTCATTCTCTTCAAAGAGAATGCAGCACTTTTGTTTTACCAACATAAAACATTTAAATATTAAAAGAATGTGAATGTTTATAAATTTGCTGAACACAGAAACAATCGCCCACAAGAGAAGTTCTGCAAGAACACTAAACGAGCTCAGACACATAGCAACAACTCTGAACATCACAAAAAGGAAATAGAATATCTATATAACACCTTCCAATAAAATGGATGCCCACGCAACTTTATCAAAAAGTGCATGACTACTTAATCCACTACAACACAAACAACATAAGTTATGAAAAGGATAACATTACCACACATCAAAATCATCTCAGAAGCAACCACCAGTCTGTTACAACACATGCCATCACTCCATCACATAAACCAACTAAAGCATTCCAAAACACCTTAAGTAACCCAAAAGACCCAGGTTCCCCAGAAAAAAAAAACAGGAGTCAACTACAATATATAGTGTAAAGACTATAACAGCCATTATGTAGGACAAACAGGCAGAACTCTAGCAGCGTGCATCCATGAATACCAACTAGCAGTTTAGAAGACATGATGAAAACTCCTTAATCACACAACACATGAACTGAGTTCACCATAATTTCAACTGGGAAACTGTGAGCAACTGTCGATGCTAGGAAGAATTGCTATAGTGAAAATGAATATAAAATTGATATAAACCATTGTTATGTCATATTTACAAATTTAATTATATTAAAATATTCCCTATTTTGAGTTTTTAATAACTAAATAGAAATTAATGTAATATAAAGCAGGCCTCATGTGATTTCCAATCACTCAGTCTGAACAAATGTATGAAGTTATGAAAAACACCAGAATTATTCAAAACAATATTCAGTAGTTCTATCTAACTGCAGTTCTTTCAGATATGCCAAAGGAATACAATGGTCATTAGCAAGGCTAATATGGATACAGTAATATAGTATCTACTCACCAACTTGTAGGGAGAAAGATATTCATCCACAAGTAGCTCTTCATCTTCTTTAACAGATGGATTGGGATTCAGGAGACCTTGCCAGCCGAGATCTGTAACCCTAACTGCAGCTGAACCTGGTCTTGAGGATCTATCTAGTTTCCAGTTTAGCTTCATTTCAGAATGCCCTAAATGTTAAAACACAAGAATACAAGCTAGTTATTTGAATCCTGTATTTATTTCATGCATCATAAGCTAAAACCATGTAGGATTATGCTAAAATTTTATGAAGATTGAAAAAAATGTAAAACATTTACTAATTAGAACGATATGCTTATTTTTCTATATAACTAACAACTGTGAAAAAGTTGTGCAAGCTGTTTATGATTGATACTATATCTCTGTTTTTAATAAACAGATATAACCAAATAATTAAAACGTTGGACAGGGATTCAAGTTCAAATCTCTGTTCATAGTGGAACTTGCTGGGTAGAAAATAGTAACTGGCAAAACAGTTGAAGGTAAAATAAGAGATAAAAAATTGAGGGGAAATTTTCATGTTCATTGCCTGGATTCTTAGACAAAAAAAATGGGATATAACTAACAAATCCATGCCTTTTGATTATATTGGAATTCAAATAAATCAGCTCAGCAATATAACTTTAAGAGAGGAAGTCTGTTAAATCGATTGACATTCAAAAAATTAATAATCAGTACTGGGTACTGAATCAGTCTAACTCTTACTGTCCAGTGATTTGAATGTCAGGAAATTCCAGAGAATCTTTTATATCTCTTCATGCTGGCTAAGATGTTAAATATCCAAAGTTCTTAAGGGCAAAATATTTATATGACTAGAAGACAAACCAGAATGTCCAAAATCTTTAAAATAAATACCTAAAATGTCTTCTTAAAAAGCCATATTTAGATCCACCATACTGACAATTTTCATCTCATCTCCAACATTTTCTTTTTCAGGGTTCACTTTTTTCCTCTTTTCCTAACGTGAATATAAAGCTGCTAGATGAAGTCATTTATTGGTGCAGGATAAGGAATGTAAGTATGCTAATGATATCTAGTTATACCCTTTTTCCCCACCCAGACTATTCAAATGATGCCCTTTAAGTCCTTTCCCAACTTAAAGGACATCATTTGAACAGCTGGGGGGGGGGCAGTTATAACTGGATATCATCAGCATACTTACATTGCCTGAAGGTTCAGAAGGTCTGGTTAAGGAAGAACAGACTTCAACTTAACCCTATTAAATCTGAGTGCCTGTAGTTTTAGGGCCCTCTAGATCTACAAATTCTGCATTCTTTTTAAAATTATTAATTCTGGACAGGGTTGTACTCCCCTACACAGAGTTGGTGTGCAACTTGGGGATCCTTTTAATCTCATAGCCCTTGCTTGAGCAGGTGGGCAGTGTGGCAAAAAGGTTTTTTTGTACAAATTCATCTTGTGCACCAGCTGGGCTTCTTATTGGATTAGGAGGCACTGCTGATAATCACTCATGTCTTATTCTCTGATTGCACTAATCCAGTGTACATGGGATTGCCCCTAAAGCAGGGGTAGGCAACCTCGGCTCTTTTATGACTTGTGGACTTCAACTCCCAGAATTCCTGAGCCAGCATGGCTCAGCATGGAAACCTCTCCCTTTCCTCTCAGCATGGCTGGCTCAGGTATTCTAAAAGTTGAAGTCCACAAGTCATAAAAGAGCCGAGGTTGCCTACCCCTGCCCTAAAGCATTGGAAAGCTTCATTAGTCCAGAAAATAGTAAAAAAAATTGAATGCAGTTTAGGGCATAAACGCTGCTACTGAAAGTATAGGATAATCTCGGCTTTTGGTTTGGTGTCATGATGAGACTGGCGAAATAAATCGGAGCTCCAGTTTCCTAGCCTGATTTTGCTCTGTCTGGAGACCCCAAGGGGTTGGAAAGTTGCCCTGGGGAGGCGACAAAGAAGAAGGGAACTCTTGGGAGCTTGGAGCCGATGGTGGTTGGCCCAAACGAACCAAGGAACCTCTTCAGACATGATGGAAGAAAGGCTGCCTGTAAACGCACAGGCAACCCGTCATAGACAACCGGGGGGAGGAAGCGAAGAGCCATGGCCACGGCATGCCACCAAACAGCTGATTGTCAATAACGTGCTGAGATCTGGGTGAGATTGTTTTTTTCTATTTCTCTGTGGACTTGGGAAATAAAAATCCCCTGATTGCATAGAATTTCTAAAGCAAAGACCTCAGGAAGACTTGGGAAGGAGGGAGTTAAAAGCGGCAAAAACTTTTAAATGGGGGAACGAAATTAAAGAATACAAAAGAATATACAAAAATGGAATTGGGACTGATTTAAAGAAAATTTGGTTAACTTTTACAATGCAGAAAAATTTTCTTATCTAATTTTTGAGAGAAAGTAATTTAAAAAGAACTTTTTAAAAACCTGGATATATAGACAATACAATAAATAAGGACATCTAGTGGTGAAAGAAGATACTACAATAACAGTAAAACCCTAACCCTAAATATAAGTAAATAAAATGGAGAAGGAAAACGGATTTTTTTCAGTGAACATAAATTGATTGAATTCCCCATCAAAAAAAATATAATCTTTAAAAAAATATAGAAATTAAATATTGATATAATTTGTCTGCAAGAGACACATATGAAAAAAATACCATAAACTTTTGGAATACCCCAAAATTGGGAAACTCTATTATGCATCAGCACACACAAAAAAAGAGTAGCTTTATACGTTAAAGAGACAATAGATTCTAAAATGATTTATTCAGATGAAGAAGGATGAATTGTGATGGTAGAAATATTTTTACACGGTAGTAATATATGCACCAAACAATAAACAAGAATTTTATCAAAATCTTCATAGAAAAATAATAGAAATGGAATACCAAAATATTTGCCTAGTATGGGATTTTAATGCAATAGTAGACGGGACATTAAACTATAAAAGTAGCAAAACAGGAAAATGAGGAAAAAAAGATTATCTAAGACTTTTTTTAACATGATAGAGGAAATTGATGTACAAAATACTTGGAGAAAAACCAACCCAGAAAAATTACAATATATATTCTACTCGAATAGCCATAAATCCTGGTCTAGAATTGACATGATTTGGATGATGCCTGAATTAAGAACTAACATGCAGGAGACTGAGATAAAATTAGGCATTTGGGCAGACCATAATCCTTTAAAAATGATATGGAAAAGAATACAAAAAAACCTTAAGATGGACCTTGAACCAATCTATATTAAAAGAGAAAGAATTTATAGAAATAGCAACAAAAGAAATGGAGCTTTTTAAAAAGAAAATAGAAAAGAAGATACATTACAAAATGTATGGGATACAGCCAAAGCATACTTTAGAGGTGTAGCTATAACATATATGGTGAAAAAAAATAAAGAAAAAAGACAACAACATATATTGTTAAGGGAAGAATTTTAAAAAACTAGAATTAGAATTACAAATAAATCCACAAAAGAAAATATTGAAAAGACAAATGGAAATAATAAAACATAAATTAAATTTAATAGAATCAGAAAAACTGGTACAGTAAATTATAAGAGGAAAACAGAATTTTTTTGAAAATGCAAATAAACCAGAAAATGACTAGTCTACAAATTTAAAAAAAAGGAGAAAAAATTGATAAATAATTTACCAGATGAAAAAGGCTGTTTACAATTCAAAAATGAAGAAATAAAAAAGATAATTAAAGAATATTACAAGAAACTGTATGATATAGAAGAAATTTCATAGGAGAAAACGATTTGATATATGGAAAAAATAATTTACCAAAAATCTCAGAAATCTTCAAAACTATGTTAAATAAAAAAAATAACAGTGATGGAACTGACAGAGGCTATAAGAAGACAAAAAAAACGAAAAAACACTGGGACCAGATGGGCAGAGTTGTACAAATGTCTACAAGATACATTAAGTCTACCGTTGAAAGATGTGTGTAATGAACTTTTGTTGGAGGCTAAACTCCCAAACACATGGACAGAAGCAAATATTACTTTGATACCAAAAGAGGACTCAGATCTGACAGATAAAAAATTACAGACCAATATCATTATAAAATGCGGACTATAAAATCTTTACTTCAATAATAGCGGAGAGACTGAAAAGATTTTTTAACTGAATTTATACATCCAGATCAAAATGGATTTCTACCAAAGAGACAAATAAAAAAATAATTTAAGAGTTATAATGGAAATATTGGAATATTATGAAATGCATCCAGGGAAACAACTAGATGCTCAAAAGGCCTTTGATAATGTTTCCTGGCAATTTATGACTCAACAATTAAAAAAATGGACTTTGGACAAAATTTTATAAATATGATTGAAACAATATATCAAAAACAAACAGCACAAGTGAGTGTAAATGGAGATTTTACAGAGAACTTCGACATAAGAAAAGGCACAAGACAAAGATGTCCACTATCTCTATTGTTGTTTATTTTAACTTTGGAAGTTTTAAATAGAAATATTAGACAAGACCCAGAAATTAAAGGACTAGAAATAAAAGGTGAAACTTATAAATTGCAAGCATTTGCAGATGACCTGGTATTCATCCTAGAGGAACCTTTAGAGATGATTCCTAAATTATTGGAAAAGATAGAACAGTTTGGAGAGATAGCAAGACTGAAATTAAACAGATAAAAAACTAAAGTGATAGTCAAAAATCTTACAGATAAACAAAAAAAATGTCAGAGAAAACAGAATTACAAATAGTCAAAGAGGTTAAATACTTGGGAATGTACCTGACAGCAAGATGCTTAACGATAAAAGAAGATAACTATATAAAATTACTGAATCAAATAAAACTTGACTTGGAAAAATGGAAAAAACTTGCAACTGTCAATGCTAGGAAGAATTGCTATAGTGAAAATGAATATATTACCAAAAATATTGTTTTTATTCCAAATGATAGCTATAAAACTGGAGAAATTTTTTTTTGAAGACTTAAATTTCCTAATTTTGAAATTTATTTGGCAAGGAAAGAAAACTAGAATTAAATTGAAAATGTTACAAAAAGCTAAGGAAAATGGAGGTTTTGGCCTGCCAGAATGGGTTTTATATTATCAAGCATCAGTATTAGCATAGATAAAAGAATTGATAACTCTTTTTGTATTTGGAAGGACATGACTTACAGTTCAGTTGGCACACTTTGTTATGG